TAGATGTAGATTGCACAGTAGTAAGTGTGGATGTACTGAACAGGGAGTAAGTTTAGATCTATGAAGAGTGGGGGGGTGTGTTGCCAGGGATGGGATTTAGTGATTATTCTTACTGCGGCTTTTTGTTGGGTTATTATTGGCTTTAGGTGTGTTGCTGCAGTTGAACCCCAAGCACATATAGCATAGGTGAGGTATGGATATATAAGTGAATGGTATAGTGTGAGAAGGGCAGTTTGCGGCACGTAGTATCGTATCTTGGAGAGGATCCCAACCGTTTTGGATACTTTTTTGGTTATGTGTTGGATATGGGTGCTGAAGTTCAGGTTGTTGTCGAGGTATAGGCTTAGGAATTTGCCCTCATTATGCCTGGCAATTAGAGTGTTGTCGATCTTAATGTTAATTTGCGCATCTCCTGCTCTGCTACCAAACATAATGTAGTAGGTTTTGTCAGTGTTAAGCGTAAGTTTATTGGCTGTCATCCAAGTCGATATTTTGATCAGCTCCTCATTAACAATGGTGTTGAGGGTGGCAAGATTAGGGTGAGAGATGACATAAGTCGTGTCGTCAGCAAAGAGAATGGGGTTCAGGTGTTGAGATACGTTTGGAAGATCATTGATGTATATGAGGAAGAGCAGGGGACCAAGGACACTTCCCTGCGGAACTCCAGTATCAAGTGGCTGTGTTGTTGATGCTGTGTCTTTAATGGTGACATACTGATACCTATTAGTAAGGTAAGATTTGAAATATGCAAGCGCATGGCCTCTTATACCATAATGGTCAAGTTTGTGGAGTAGGATGCCGTGGTCTACTGTGTCAAAAGCTTTTCTTAGGTCAATAAAACATGACTCTATTGGGTTATCCTGGGTTACTAACCCTCCGGGTAATGCAACCAAAATATTTTTCAATAAGACTATGGATTTTGTAGATAACGAAAGGTTTGTCAATTATTACTATCGTTTATCATCAACTTTATTCTATTCGTTTTCTTTGACAAGCTCTTGCTTTTTCGTGGGTAAACTATTTAATATTTAGAGAGTTCTTAAGTTCAGTTATCTAATCAACTCCTTTATTCCTTTGTACAGTACAATATGTAGCTTACATGTAACAAAATATTGTTAGACACAAAGAAAGCCACTAGCATGCATAAGCATTTCAGACAGGTGAAGAATTAGACACATGTGCAACATCTGGGTATCTTTATTGTAGACGTTTCGTCCTCCAGTGCCTTTATCAATATAAATTCAAGGACATAATTGGAAAACAACAGAACTATATACAAAAGATGGAATCTTGGTTCAGAGGACATCTCCACAACTTTCCTAATTAATTGCTACTGACCCGTCCCTCCGGTATGATCTACTTTCACTGGGAAAGATAAGATTTTCTTCGGACTTTTAACCCCGGAGGGTTAGCCACCCAGGTTAATCCATAAAGACAGTGCTTCACCGAGGGACTGTCTGTCTTATTTCTATTGGGGTTCTTAAATCTTGTCACCCAGGATGTGACCCACACCAGTCGACTAACACCCAAAAATGGTAACTAACTAACCCAGGTACCTACTTGCTTGCTAGGTGAACAGGGACAGCAGGTGTAAGGAAACACTCCCAATATTTCCACTCTACCATACTCCTTGCACTGAAATGCATCTATGTATCAAAGATTGACAGTTTAATTGTAACTGATTCTCTGTCATCCATAAATGCTCTCAACTCATTAAGCATAAATTGTGGCATGCTTGTGTCAGAAGCCAGACATAGGTATGGTAGGATTGTGGACAGTGGAGTCAGAGTGCACATGCTGTGGATTCCATCTCACATTGGTCTTCAGATGCATGATAGAACTGATAAATTGGCTAAGCTGTATGCTTTCAAAGAGGGAGTAGATTACAATCTTGGCTTGTCAGGTAGTAGATTGAGAACAATAATACGAAAAGAACTTCAGCTGAATTTTATGGACTTAAGGCTCAGGGAGATTGACACCAGTGAGTCCATCTATCATCATTCTATCATGCAGGAGGAGCCACATGTCTATGGTGCATCCAACAAAATAAGCAGACTCTTGGATGTCACTACCGCCCGGCTCCGGCTGGGTTACAAGTATCTTTGGCAGGTTAAATCACCACCACCAGATGTAGACCAAACGAAATGTAAACTTTGCCAGATGGATTATTGTCACACCCTGCGTCATTATGTACTGGAGTGCGATAAAATTAATGAATTTAGAAACAACTCACTCAGAAGTGTTCAAGAAATGGCTAAGTATTTTATCCACAGTGGTATATTACAGACCATTCTGGAGAAATACCCTGACTTTGCTAGCTGTAAATAAAGCTTTACCACATATGTGCATGTGTGTGTGTGTGTGTGTGTGTGTGTGTGTGTGTGTGTGTGTGTGTGTGTGTGTGTGTGTGTGTGTGTGTGTGTGTGTTTGTGTGTATGTGTATGAGTGTGTGTGTGTGTGTGTGAGTATGAGTGTGTGTGTGTGTATGAGTGTGTGTGTGTGTATGAGTGTGTGTGCGTGTGTGTGTATGAGTTTGTGTATGTGTGTGTGTGTGTGTGTGTGTGTGTGTGTGTGTGTGTGTGTGTGATTATGTGTGTATGTGTATGAATTTGTATGTGTGTGTGTGTGTGTGAGAGAGAGAGAGACTCAGCAATCAACATTTGCACCAATAACTCACTACAGTTGTGACCGGGTGTGGAAGTGTGAATTGCTCATTACTCTAAAATTTGTTCATGATTGCAGCCATGTATACACGTAAGTAATCATTCTTACAGTATTCATTACCTTTGTAATTTGTGAGTTCATTACCTTTGTAACTTGTGAGTTCATTACCTTGTACCTAGTTCGGCCATCAAAACTTTGGAGCCCGGTCCCTGGACCCATTGTGTACCTCTGTAATCTGTAAATACCTTTGTAACTTGTCATGATTGTGACTAGACCTACCTGGAGTTCATTACCTTTGTAAATTGTGAGTTCATTACCTTTGTAAATTGTGAATTCATTACCTCTGTAACTTGCTCAGCTATCAAAACTTTGAGGCCCAGTCCCTGGACCCATTATGTACCTCTGTAATCTTTTGACTACCGCCCACTGGATGGGTATGGGGTGCATAATAAACATATTAAACTAAACTACCCGGGGATCGAACCATAGACATTCTGTGAGGCGAGAGCGTTGCCTACCAGGCCACGGGACACGTACACATAAATACAGTTACACAAATTATCATACATACCTGGAGTTTACCTGGAGAGAGTTCCGGGGGTCAACGCCCCCGCGGCCCGGTCTGTGACCAGGCCTCCTTAGGTCAGTGTCCCAGGATGCGACCCACACCAGTCGACTAACACCCAGGTACCCATTTTACTGATGGGGAACATAGACAACAGGTTGAAAGAAACACGTCCAATGTTTCTACTCTGGCTGGGAATCGAACCCGGGCCCTCATCGTGTGAAGCGAGAGCGTTAACCACCAGGCCACCAGAGCCCACATAGTAACATATGTGTTAATTACCTAGGATGACCCAAAAAAAAGTCATACATAGTTATTTATTTCTACTGGGGTACTTGCTATTCCTTGATTTGTTAAGAAATAATGAAGAATTTTAGATTTTATCTGAGCAGCCGGGCTGTGGTTCGTACGTCAGTTTGCGTGCGGCCAGCAGTAATATCCTGGTTCATCCGGCCATGATCCACCGCGAGGCCTTGTCACAGACCAGGCCGCGGGGGCGATGACCCCCTGAAACCCTCTCCAGTTATACTCCAGGAATAGACAGCCACGTAAGGTTAATAACCAAGGATAACCGAAGCAAAGTCTTCCATTGGAGTAGTTTTTAAGTCCTTCCCCAGGATGCGACCCACAAGTATGGATTGGAGAGTGGGAAAGGTAACAGCTATGAAAGGATTCAGGGGAAACCGGTTTGGAGAACTTGAGTCCTGGAGGTGGAAAGTACAGTGTCTGTATTCTGAGGGAGGAGTGGGGATACTTGCAGTTCGGAGGGGCATCCGTACTGTAGTATCGGTGCACCTCTTCCAAGACTAATGGAGCGAGTGATGGTGAAAATTTCTTCTTTTTTGAGTGACTACCTCGGTAGGAGACGACCGATGTGTGAAATAAAATACATGAGTTGTTATGAAAGAAATTCGTGACCTGGTTACATTCCTGAGTTCATCCGTATATACCTGAAGTATACCTGGAAAGGGTTCTGGGGTCAACGCCTCCGAGACTCGGTCTGAGACCGGGCCTCGTGGTGGATCAGGGTCTGATCAACCAGGCTGTTACTGCCTGGCCGCACGCAAACTGACGTACGAACCACAGCCCGGCTGGTCAGGTACTGACTTTAGGTGCCTGTCCAGCGCCTTCCTCAAGAGAGCCAGGAGTCTATTGGTAATCCCCCTTATGTATGCTGGGAGGCAGTTGAACAGTCTTGGGCCCTGGACACTTATTGTGTTGTCTATGCATATGTTCATGAGTGTGCTGTGAAACACACACCAGCTCAAGTTTCACAGGTAATCATGACATCTGCTACATCTGTCACAACACCTACTGCAACACGTCACACAACACCTGTCACAAAACCTGCTACAGAATTTTTTCGTAGAACTTGTTACAAAATATATCGATATTAAAAACACCGTGTTATTTGGACTGTGATAATGTCCAAGGGTTAGTGTAGATTTCCTCAAGAATTCTTCCAATAACACTGTTCAGGGTTATTGTGTAAGAAAAATTTAATGGTTGTTATGTATAGATAAAGCGAGATAACACACTAGAAAAGTCTTTTAAGATAATGTTATCTGAAGAAGAGGAGTGATTACTTAGTTCCAGTGTTGTGGTCACCTGGTCACACTACACGTCCTGACAGAGGTGAGTAGTGTGGTTATCCGGTCTTCGTGCTGTGGTCACCTAAAGTCTTGACACAGGTGAGTAGTATGGTCATCTGGTCTTAGTGTTGTGGCCACCTTAAGAGAGTGCTGTGGTCAACTGGTGTCAGTGTTGCGCTAACCTGGCTTCAACGTTGTTGCCACCTCGTCTTAATGATGTAGTTACCAAGTCACAGTAAAAGAAAGAAAAAAGTAAATATCTGATCGGTCTCGTGTGTTCGCACAAACATTCCTCCGAAGATGTGCGTCTAACCTAGCGAAAGCACTCAGGTGTTGCCTTTTTAACAACTATGGCACCTGTGTTCACCACGTCATAAAATGACAACCGAGGGGAGGGTATCAGGATATTCATTAGCATACCTGATTTACGGGAAAGCACTAAATCCATAAGGATCAACACAACACCTGGGGAACAGAAGGTAATTAGATCTGATCCACAGAAGGGAAGATAAGCTCTAATACTCATGTGCAAGAGTCTTTTCATTGACGTCAGGGGAAGGAGATTATTTTAACAGCCCAACGTTGATCCCCATTCCCATCCACTGAAACTTTATATGAGTCCAACTAAAGTAATTTTGTTATACAAATATTTACGAAATTATATATATATATATATATATATATATATATATATATATATATATATATATATATATATATATATATATATATATATATATATATATATATATATATATATACTACTACCCCCTATATTTTATACAGATTTTATTTAAAGACAAAATACATTGACAAAAATACAATAGGAAGTAGAACAACATAGATAACATCTCAGAGCTACATCTCGAATACTTCGTCCAGCTTCCCGGCGGTGGGCCGTGTACCCAGAATGCTGCAGGCATTTCTCTTCTGGATCGCAACACTGAGTCTCTGAAAGAGAAAGCTGGCCGCCCTTTGGTCCCTGGTTTCTATGATGAGTTTTTCACCCAGCTCTTTAATGAACTTTAGAGCACACTTGCCCCATGCTCCAAGGGTCTCCGACCCTACTGGGATGAAGTTATAACAAGGGGAAGGCTTTCATATTTGCGGGTCTTCTGGATCTCCCTGTGGCTGGCAGCTCCACCCCCTTCAGCTAGGGTGTATGGCAAGTAGATGTCTACCAATGTGGCGGCACAGGTGTAGTCCCAGGCAACCTGCTTACCATCCTTCCAGGGTAGCATAGTGGCCCCATCAGGACGCTTTTGACTTCCGTCAGACCTCTGCACTTGGGGTTCCCGTTGGGCTGGACAACGGGATGTGGCGAGACTTCTCTTTATGATGTCGTTGACCTCCTCATGTCTAGCACCGTACGGTGCTCTTCACACCAACTCTAAGGCTGAGGGACTGATTACCTCATCTTTTGTATACAGTTCTACTGTCTTCAAATTATGTCGTAGAATTTATATTGATAACTCCACTGGATAGCGAAACGTCTACATTAAAGATATTGCACATGTGTCTAATTTTCAAGAACCATTCTTATTTAACATGGATATACTTAGGTCGGATCTCTAAACTTATTAATAGCAATTATGAGAACCAGTTACCGTATTTTCCGGCATATAAGGCGCGTTTTTTCCCTAACAAAAAGTTTTGGAAAATCAGCCTGCGCCTTATATGTTCAAGGTCAGGGTCAAGAGTAGGCTTTGTGTTACACTTTAGCAGTTATTTAATAATGTTATGTTACATCTGCTTGGAAATATCGTATTATATGCTCGTGCGCCTTATATGCCGGAAAATACGGTATGGCTTAAATTATTCAAGTTGAATAGTTTCAGCCTCGGGTGAGTGACTCAAGAGGGCGAGGAGAGAGGGAGAGGAAATGAGGCAAGAATATGAGGCAAAGAGAGGAAGGGAGGAGATAAGGACGCAAGGAAAAGAAAGAGAGAGGTGATGGGGAAAAGTGAGAATGCAGAAAGAGAGGAGGAGAAGGAGGAGGAGATAATGAAAAGGCGACAAAGTTAATTCTAATTTAAAAGTTATTTCCAATATGAAAATATAGTTTTGAGACATTCTGAGATGCAAAATTTGGATTTCTAAATCCAGGGAGACTTTTCCCCATCGTAAAAGGTCCAACTCCTTTCATGTATATATATATATATATATATATATATATATATATATATATATATATATATATATATATATATATATATATAGTTCCTTTGTATAAAGGCAAAGGGGATAAAAGAGAGTGCAAAAATTATAGGGGGATAAGTCTGTTGAGTGTACCTGGTAAAGTGTATGGTAGAGTTATAATTGAAAGAATTAAGAGTAAGACGGAGAATAGGATAGCAGATGAACAAGGAGGCTTTAGGAAAGGTAGGGGGTGTGTGGACCAGGTGTTTACAGTGAAACATATAAGTGAACAGTATTTAGATAAGGCTAAAGAGGTCTTTGTGGCATTTATGGATTTGGAAAAGGCGTATGACAGGGTGGATAGGGGGGCAATGTGGCAGATGTTGCAAGTGTATGGTGTAGGAGGTAGGTTACTGAAAGCAGTGAAGAGTTTTTACGAGGATAGTGAGGCTCAAGTTAGAGTATGTAGGAAAGAGGGAAATTTTTTCCCAGTAAAAGTAGGCCTTAGACAAGGATGTGTGATGTCACCGTGGTTGTTTAATATATTTATAGATGGGGTTGTAAGAGAAGTAAATGCGAGGGTCTTGGCAAGAGGCGTGGAGTTAAAAGATAAAGAATCACACACAAAGTGGGAGTTGTCACAGCTGCTCTTTGCTGATGACACTGTGCTCTTGGGAGATTCTGAAGAGAAGTTGCAGAGATTGGTGGATGAATTTGGTAGGGTGTGCAAAAGAAGAAAATTAAAGGTGAATACAGGAAAGAGTAAGGTTATGAGGATAACAAAAAGATTAGGTGATGAAAGATTGAATATCAGATTGGAGGGAGAGAGTATGGAGGAGGTGAACGTATTCAGATATTTAGGAGTGGACGTGTCAGCGGATGGGTCTATGAAAGATGAGGTGAATCATAGAATTGATGAGGGAAAAAGAGTGAGTGGTGCACTTAGGAATCTGTGGAGACAAAGAACTTTGTCCTTGGAGGCAAAGAGGGGAATGTATGAGAGTATAGTTTTACCAACGCTCTTATATGGGTGTGAAGCGTGGGTGATGAATGTTGCAGCGAGGAGAAGGCTGGAGGCAGTGGAGATGTCATGTCTGAGGGCAATGTGTGGTGTGAATATAATGCAGAGAATTCGTAGTTTGGAAGTTAGGAGGAGGTGCGGGATTACCAAAACTGTTGTCCAGAGGGCTGAGGAAGGGTTGTTGAGGTGGTTCGGACATGTAGAGAGAATGGAGCGAAACAGAATGACTTCAAGAGTGTATCAGTCTGTAGTGGAAGGAAGGCGGGGTAGGGGTCGGCCTAGGAAGGGTTGGAGGGAGGGGGTAAAGGAGGTTTTGTGTGCGAGGGGCTTGGACTTCCAGCAGGCATGCGTGAGCGTGTTTGATAGGAGTGAATGGAGACAAATGGTTTTTAATACTTGACGTGCTGTTGGAGTGTGAGCAAAGTAACATTTATGAAGGGATTCAGGGAAACCGGCAGGCCGGACTTGAGTCCTGGAGATGGGAAGTACAGTGCCTGCACTCTGAAGGAGGGGTGTTAATGTTGCAGTTTAAAAACTGTAGTGTAAAGCACCCTTCTGGCAAGACAGTGATGGAGTGAATGATGGTGAAAGTTTTTCTTTTTCGGGCCACCCTGCCTTGGTGGGAATCGGCCGGTGTGATAATAAAAAAAAAAATAATATATATATATATATATATATATATATATATATATATATATATATATATATATATATATATATATATATATATATATATATATATATATATATATATATATATATATAGGATGGGGTCCACCTCTGGTATATATATAATATATATATATATATATATATGTGTGTGTGTGTGTGTGTGTGTGTGTGTGTGTGTGTGTGTGTGTGTGTGTGTGTGTGTGTGTGTGTGTGTGTGTGTGTGTGTGTGTGTGTGTGTGTGTGTGGTGTTTAAGGGGAGGTGAGTCTCAGGGTTATCTCACTAACCACTTCAAGAAGATAAGTTTGGTTATCTTTACCCACTTTACTTATTATGTTCCCTAGATATTTTCAAGATTTTTTGGTAACATACGATAAAAAAGGCTCATATGTATCCAGATTTTTTCTTTAATTTTTATCTGAACTGGAAATAACTAAATAATTAATAAATAAATAACAAAAAGGCACAATACCGTGACTTTGTCAATGGTCCAAGTCGGACCGAAACGTCGTCGTAAGCTTCTGTCTTTTATGTGCGGGTTATTTGTGTATCTGAACTGGAGTATGCCATTTTATTCTGAGTTGAGGCTGCATTGTGATTGTCCCATAAATATGTCCAAAAAGTATATCCACGAACTGCATTATATTTAAAGATATTAATTAAAAAGTATAACTAAATACTTTCCTATTTAGTGTTCTGAATTCATACATATTTCATGTATTTTTTGGTTGACCTTGTGTTGTGGCCACCATGCAACACCTGAGGCTACAATAATTAGTAAACTCGCTTGACAACACTATAATCAACACAAATTAAAATCATAACAAATTCTTTTCTCGATTTTTAAGTTAGATTACCTTAAGTAAAGCTAGATTAGGTTTGTTTTTCCTATCTTAACCTACAAAAAAGAATACATTAAACAGCAAGAAATTTTAATTACAATAGACCCGCAACACATCAAGAAAACATCATCTTCCCATTACAGAAAATTGAGTGTTGGATTTAAGTGTAATTGATCACGCCAGTATATCATGCTAGCCGGTAGCTATCATCAGTAATCATGTTACACCGAGTAGATAAGCTTTTATTTATTTTAAGCCTGTAGTCAACACAGTCTGTTGTGACTGTTATCAGATATACAACAGAAACGCAAAACGCTTGTGACCCTGAAATTCTTGATTGGGAGTGACGTGTTCTGAGATGAAAATAATGTGAGCGATAAATGTTAAGTGGTTACATATGAAGGTTTTTCCGTGTATTGCTAAGTGGGTGTCGGTGTTGCTATGTCAGTGACTACCTCTCTCTCTCTTTCTTTTCTAGGTCCTCCTTTCCTTGGTCATTCACTTCCTGTCTCACACCCTAACCTATGATGATCCGTAGACCTGAAAGTCTACGTAGCAACAGGCTGATGGATTCAATAGAAAAGTCTAACCTTCAGACCAGGCTGGAAACCAGTCACAGGTTCCATAGCTCCAGTGAGCTATGGATCAGGTTAAGTCAAAGTAGTTCCAGCCTTACCACCCATCTTCCCCTGACGTCAGGATGTTACTCAAGGTCAGTTGACCTTTAGTCACGTGTCATCCACGTGAACAATGCAAGTTTGTCGTGACCGGATATGTGAAGAGCGGATGCATACACACACACACTTGGCACGGATAAGCCTCGTGAGAACACTTAGAGCACCACTAGGAGTCGTATGTGTGGCGCAAGACAATTGTAGATGATGTTTTCGTTAGGAAAACGTTTCGTTCTGTGTAGAGCTTTATCGTTATGCTCTGCTCTATGAAGAGCTTTATCAGGTCGTGTAGAGCTGTATCAGGTCATGTAGAGCTTTATCAAATCATGTGTAGAACTTCATGCCATGTTTCCCCTACGTGTACACCTTTTTCAAGTCATCAATACGGCATCTCGTGGAGACATGAAAGACCAAGATGACTAAACTATCGAGCCGAGAATCTCCCCTCTATATGAAGACAAAAAACAGATCACAATAAGGTGTCTACAACAATTTATAACTAACCCACACAGCTGAGAGACGTGTCGGTCCTTCCTGAGCCGTTACGAACCATTTATTATTATCACTAGTCGCTTTAACTGACCTTAACGGTCAGTTAAAGCGACGTTCTGAAGCTCACTGACAGTGACATTGTTAAGGTCAGTGACAATTCCAGTGATAAGCCCAACCACAGCAAATCTAAAGTACTATGTCATGATTTATTTTTATTATTATTATTATTATTATTATTATTATTATTATTATTATTATTATTTAATAATAATAATATTCCTGTTGATTTATTAATTATTTTTATTCTAAATTTCTTTGTACTCTCAAATGTCTGTTGTTTCTTCCTTCCTCCGGGTTTTTCATTCCTTTCCTCTCCCTCTGTCCTTCTCCCTTACCTTTTACTCTCATTCTCTACTTCATATATTTGCAGGGTGTTTCTAGTAGCGTAAGTGTTGTAAGTGTAATTACATAAATGTGTGTTTCCGCAGCACAGTTATGGAGACGGGAAAGAGTCAGGAGCAGTTGGTGGAGGCGGCGCAGGAAGGACGTGCTGGAGGCATATGGAGGCGAAGGACTCGCCTGGAGAAGGTGCTGATAGGGATATCAGGGGTGGCATTGCTCGCCTGCATGGCTCTGGTCGGTGTGGTCGCCGTCGGGAGACCAGAAACCTCGCCTGCCAATAGGTAAGCTCTCAGATGGTACACACAGACAGACGAGCTCTCAGCCAGACTAGTAAAGCACAGCAGATATATGTGGACAACTACAGTAAACACCACATACTTTTGAAAGTAACCAGTATTAGAGAAACTCAGTTTTCATTTTTCTTAACACATCGGCCGTCTCTCCTCAAAGCAGTGTGACCCAGAAAACAAAGAAAGAAACATATTCATCATCATTCAGTTAATAGTTGTTTTGTCAGATGCGTGCAGACATTACACAGCCAAAAGATATAGCCAAGTTAGCTCAGGCTCTTGTGTACTAGTTGCAGCTCCTTGTTGATATACCGAGACCATCCGTGTTTTCTTTCTCAGGGAGGCTGCACCTACGATCCGTCTCCAAGCATCACCGCAGAGGACGGAAGAACATGTTCAAGTAAATCCCGAGGAAACCTTATCAAACGTGAAGCTTATGGCATCGCAAAAGCAGGCGCCACGTCTTCCTGTGTATCATGCTCGAACTGACGATGGCGCCGAGTTTGAGATCTGCAGCACGATCGAGTGTACCCTGGCTGCCGCCTCCATCATCGAGGCCATGGATGCCACTATCGACCCTTGCCAGGACTTCTTTCAGTTTGCTTGTGGCAACTGGATAATTGAAAACCCAGTGCCAGAGGAGTCGTCAAGCTGGGTTCAGTTTGATCTTCTTGATCGAGAGTTAAGTAATGCCTTGAGCAGCATCCTCTCAGAGCCTCAGAATCCACAGGATCTAAAACCCATTAATGACGCTAAAAACTTTTATGCTGCCTGTATTAATGAAGAACTTCTGGAAACAATCGGTGTGACTCCCTTAACCAACTTACTCTCGCAGTTCGGCGGCTGGCCTATGACCTTGAATGAGTGGAGTGAAGCTGCATTTGACTGGCAGACCTCAGTTGCCGAGGCAAGAAGACAACTGGCTGCAGGTTATTTAATAAATGTGTGGGCATATGCTGACGAAAAAGACACTGATATAACAGCGATATACATAGACCAGACATCCCTGGGTATGCCGAGATCGATTCTAACATCTCCAGCCAACTATGAGGAGATAATTAATGCCTATAAGACGTACATGTCCTCCACTGCCTCGATAATATCCACATCATTACAGGAAAATATTACTGTCAGTAATGCAGAAGTATCCGATGTTGTTGACTTTGAAATGGCTCTTGCCAACATCACTACACCGGATGAAGATAGGCGGGACATGAATCGCATGTACAACCCAATGACAGTATCAGAGCTGAGCGAATTGACAGCTGATTCCGATATCGACTGGATACAGATGCTGACTACCATGTTTGCCTCGACGGAAGTCTCCATTGATACCTCCACGAGGGTGATTGTGCAAGAGCCTGAGTATCTTGTAAAGCTCACAACTCTTGTTGCAGCAACAAGCACTCGTACACTTTCAAACTACATCATGTGGCGACTTGTGAAGGCCTTGGGCGACGAGACCAACCTGGCCATGCGCGAGGCCTCCTTCCAGTATCAGATGGTAGCCAGCGGCGTAAAGGCTCAGGAGCCACGCTGGAAAATCTGCGCTGATAAAGTCAACAACTTCATGGGTATGGCTGTAGGTATAAAGTACGTGGAGACCTATTTTTCTCAACAGGCCAAAGACGAGGCTAACGAGATGGTGGAAGACATCCGTTCAGCCTTTAAAGATTTGCTGGATATCAACGAATGGATGGATGACGAAACTAAACCCAAGGCTGTGGAGAAGGCAGATGCTATCACCAAGCTTATTGCATATCCTGACTGGTATGGGAACAATTCTGCTATGGAGTTGTATTACAGCGGCCTCCAGGACACAGCCAATGACACGCACTTCCTCAACGTACAGAAGCTCAGGTAGGACACTATATATCTTACCCTCTAGGATAATTATTTAGACATATGAGTGAGACTATCCTGTCATTTTATTTTGTCATGTTTTTTGAAGTTTAAAGTGACGACCAACTTTTGGTTCCACTTCAGTATTTTCGACGCTATTTGTGAAGAACTGTTTTCTGTTGTTTACTCGGCACCGAACTTTTTTTTAGTTTATATTTGTGAAAAAAAAATTCTGCATATTATGATGCTGAATTTTTCTTGTTTATCATTTTCATAAGCATAATTTTGTGTCCTTTCATAATCTCATTTGTGGTTATGTCCCACGTTCTCCTCCTGTCCACCTACGAACACACTATCAGTGTGTTCTGTCCCCTTCGTAATTCATATTTGCCAGGATATGGTTCACGGAAGATAAGTATCAAAGGAGTAATAATTCAATAATAATCAAAATGTGTATATGATGCATGCAATTGAGATGAGGTTCCACGATGACTGTAACGAGCACATTACCTCCTGCAGCTTGTGGACGAGCACTGACGAGCTGGAGGAGGTGGGTCACCCCACCAAGAGAGACAAGTGGTACTTCCCCCCCACTATCGTCAATGCCATGTACATGCCGGAGTTCAATTCGATCACCTTCCCCGCGGGCATCCTTCAACCGCCCTTCTACCGCGCCAATTCCCTTCAAGCTCTCAACTACGGAGGTATCGGACAGGTAAGTAGAGTATTCTGACTTTTTTTTAATTAAGCTTTCCTGTCTATTTGTGAACCCCTATTTGAACTCCGTCAAAGAAGCATAGAAACAGGAGTTTTTGTGTGTAGGAAGCATGGAGGCTCAATCCTCCACAAGGGGCCAATTCTCTGACCCCTCATAGGAGACTGGAGCGTATAGTGACCCACCCGTACGGACGGGGGGTCTCAGCCGGGTAAAGATTCTCTCTGTCGGGTAAATAAATTAAACAATTCATTCTAAGCGCTAAACCCATGTTGATCGGAGTTCATGAGGTTCGAACCTTTACACATTCACAATAACTTTATTAACAACACAGAGTGCTAATTGAAACCGTTTTAAATAAATAGAATATAGATAAAAAGATGAACATACGTGATAGAGGGCGCTGTTGTCACTTCAACACCAGTTATTATTTTATCTTAAGACTCTTATCGGACTAAAAACCAGTCTTTCGTCCTGTCCAAAGATTCTGGACAAAATCTAAATGCTTATAATTTCCCATCTTCTTACTTATACCAGCAACTAAAAATATATTGTCTAGAATATGTACAATAGTATGCAATAATATCACAGTAATCAGGTGATATTACAATATACAAAATAACCAGAGTGATTTCTCGAAATCGCTTGGAATTTCACTATATTTTTTCGCTGTAGTTACTTTGTATACAATAGGCCTGGTCTCAGACCGGGCCGCGGGGGCGTTGACCCCCGGAACTCTCTCCAGGTAAACTCCAGGTAACTCAAGATACAACACTCTCACACGTTAAATAAAACTAACAATATACACAGCCTACAGGTTAAATAAATGCTGTGTACCAGACAGTAGTACGACTACTAGGTTAGCCGCTACTAAGGCGTAGCCCTGCGCTATCATATCAGCTACTGTGATAAATGGTTTAAAACCGACAAGTTGAAGATTGAGACACTTATGCAACATATGGAAATCTTTATTGAAGAAATGTTTCGCCACACAGTGACTTCATCAGCTCAATACAAAGCAGACTGATGAATGGTGTACGGAGAGGAGGAGTTTGAGGTAATCAGTCCCTCAGCCTAGAGTCGATGTGTTCAGTCCATCCTTTCTACTTTGTATTGGACTGATGAAGACATTATGTGGTGAAACGTTTCTTCTACTTCCATCCTGCCGTCATTAGCTCCTTGGTTACATTTACTTCAGGTCATAGGCCACGAGATCACTCACGGGTTCGATGACGAGGGACGACAGAACGACTTGCACGGCAACGCCGTACCGTGGTGGAGCAACGCCACCCTGGAAGCTTTCCAAGAGCACGCTCAGTGTATCGTCGACCAGTACGGCAGCATACGTGTGCCGGAGATTGACGCTCTCCTCCCTAATGCTACTTTGAATGGTGTCAACACGCAGGTGTGTACGTGGCTGGCTTACTTATTTACCCTTGTGTATGTCTGTGGCTCACTTATTTACACCTGTGTATGTGGATGGCTTACTTAATATACTGGCTCTTTTGTTAGACTTTGTAAATGGCCCAAGTCGGACCGGAACGTCGTCGTAAGTTCCTGTTTCTTATGCTGGTTATTTGTGTATTACACTTGTGTATAAGGCTGGCTTACTTATGTACACTTGTGCATCTGGCTGGTTTACTTTTTTATACTTGTATATGTAGCTGGTTTATTTATATACACTCGTGTATGTGGCTGGCTTCTTTATTGACACTTGTATGTAGCTGGCTTACTTATTTACACTTTGTGGCTGGCTTGGCTATTTACACCTGTATATGTGGCTGGCTTACTTACATGTGTTTATTTGACTGGCTTACTTTTCTACATGTTGCGAAATTACTAATTCACGTCTGTGTGTACAGGGTGAGAACATTGCGGACAACGGGGGCCTCCGAGAGGCGCTCTTGGCCTACAATAAGTACGTTGAGAGGTATGGCGAGGAGCCTCGCTTGCCTGGCCTCACAGAATACACCCCATACCAGCTGTTCTTCCTCTCCAACGCTAACATCTGGTGTGGCTCCTACACCACCGAGGGACTGTTCAACCAGGTGCTGACAAACGTACACTCTCCAGGCAAGTACAGAGTGCTCGTGCCGATGGGAAACATGGAGCAGTTCTCAGAAATCTGGAGCTGTCCTGCTGGCTCGCCCATGAACCCAGAGAAGAAGTGTGTTGTTTGGTAGTAGCACTTTGCTACCGTCTTCCCGCTTCGCTCTCAGTCTTCTCTTTCTCTTAGAATATCAACTGCCATAGCTTAGTGGTAAGAGTCACGGCTTTTACCATCGAGGTCCAGGGACCAAATCCCCGGCTGGAAACAAAAAAGAGCAGCTTCCCTCTTATTCTTACTTCCATCTCTTGTTCTTACTTCCATCCTCTTGTTCTTACTTCCATCCTCTTGTTATTCTGTTGGTTTATGACTCATAGAGCAATAAAAGGGTAAAAAAAAGCATATATGCATTTTCTTTAACTTGTGTACCCACAAATATGACCAAGTGAAGAAGGTTGGGTTGACCAACGACCTACCACGAGGCATCCAGCTGGGAGTCAAACACTAATAATGACTATAATCATAAGCATAATATTTTCAAGGGGTCTACCGGTAAGTCAGCGGAAAGCCTCGGTCAGATGACAAAAGATGTCAGCTGTCCTGTTTCCTAACAAATCTTACCTAAAGTCAAACACTCACATCTCTGAAAACATGTGACCCAGCAGGAAGCATCTTCACCGCCCTGTGTCTTCATACTCAAGCTGTCTAGGTGTTGCACATATTGCCTACCATTAGGTAATTCTTACATCAGTTGCTTTTATATAAATACGTGCAGTAGAGAGAGTTTAAATCTCCCTAGCGCACGTGGGTCATTAAGGTTGCAGTTCACTAGCACAGCAGCAACCGAAAATATACTTTAATCCATAATATAGAAAGTAAAATAGTCTTTAATATATATACAATAAGAGAGAGATATACCTCTTGGTGTATATACAATAAGAGAGAGATATACCTCTCGGTGTATATACAATAAGAGAGATATATACCTCTCGGTGTATATACAATGAGAGAGATATACCTCTCGTTGTATATACAAGAATTCGCTTTGTAGTTAAAGGTGTCTCGTATTCAACACTATACCTACATGTTGCGACCCACACCAGTCGACTAACACCCTGGCACCTATTTACTGATAGGTGAACAGCAGGTGTTAGAAGACCCTAACGTCTGGCCCTACCCGTATGCGCAAAGGAATTTCTAGATACGGCAATTGATTTTCTTCTCCTTCTGTTTACACATCGCTCATAAAAATATGATGACACATACACTATGCTAAAATTTGATGGGACACTTAACTTAGTCAGAGTGGGCAGGCGCGGGCGTGGTGAGGCAGGTAAGTCTGAGGCAGCCAGTTTGTGAGTGGTTGTGGTGGAGTGAACATATGTAGTCTTATATCATTGTAGAGAACTCTCTCCCTTGGAGTGAGAGCCAGATAAGTGGACGCTGGTGGAAGTAGTCGCTAGACAGGTGACCGTTGAAGAAGTGGTCGCTGAAGTAGTCGCTGTGGAAATGATCGCTGATGGAAGTGGTCGCTAGAGTACTTACTAAGGTCGTCGCCTGGAGAAGTGGTCGTTAAAGAAGCGGTCGTTAATAAGGGTATTGATGAGTTCGAAGGTATAACATTCCCTATAATATTATCTCTCTAGAGAAAGAGAGAGACAGAGAGACAGAGACCAAATTAAATCGCTGGTCCACACATGGCTCCAACTTCATCTTGTCCCCTATCTGTTTATCTCTTAACAATAAGACTTTCAGATGAGCAGATGTAGGTTCCAGCTCTTAGCGAGTAAAAAATGAGAGATAGAGAAGAGAAGAGAGATAGATAGATAGATAGATAGATAGATAGAGAGAGAGAGAGAGAGAGAGAGAGAGAGAGAGAGAGAGAGAGAGAGAGAGAGAGAGAGAGAGAAGAGAGGAGAGAGAGAGAGAGGCACTGTAACACAACACCGTCACCTGCTTAGCTACCGTCACATAGACGCCACCTACCTTGACAGAGTTATGGACGTGGGAGGTGTGGGCGTGTTAGGTGTGAGAGGGGTTGGCGTGGGAGGAGTGGTGTGGGAGTATGTGTGGGGATAAGAGGTGAACGTGGGAGGTGTGAACGTGGATGTGAGAACGGGTGTTAATAGCGAAGGCGGGAATGATGAACAGTGGGATAGGAAGATGATGAAGAGGAATACATCAAGAATCCCTAGACAAGTAGAAAGAAATGTGGAATGTAGGAGGGATACCTAGGTAGAAGCGAGGGGTGAGGAATGTAGGAGGGATACCTAGGTAGAAGCGAGGGGTGAGGAATGTAGGAGGGATACCTAGGTAGAAGCGAGGGGTGAGGAAGGTAGGAGGGATACCTAGGTAGAAGCGAGGGGTGAGGAAGGTAGGAGGGATACCTGGAATACAATACCAAGACTACAATAATCCCTAGCACAGATTAAGACTACCGTAAACTCTTTTAGTATTTACGCTGAAAACATCTCTGTTTGTGTTTTATATGTTGTTAGCATCAGAAAGAAGCACTGGATCGAATATCGGTTGTTTCCTGGTAGCCAGTGATTCAGTATGCATAGCTGACACCATGTACTCCAAGATACTTGATGCTATACCTTCAAGATGGGATGTTTCACCTGGCTAACATTCTGATATGTTTATAAGAGCATATGAACATAAGGAAGAAGGAACAGTGCAGCAGGCCTACTGGCCCATGCGAGGCAGGTCCAATTCTCCCACCGGCTTAAGCCAATGCCTTAACCTAGTCAGGTCAGTCACATTCACTTAAGGAAGGAGCACGGCATCTAACCTAGTAGCACAAGCTAGTCAGGTCCAACTCACACCCACCCACACCCACTCTTGTATTTATGCAACCTACTTTTAAAACTACACAACGTCTTAGCTTCTTCTTTAACGGAAAGATTAGCACATGTGTAAGATACATGTGCGACATTTACGTTGTAGAGACGTTTCGCCAACTAGTGTCTATCAGTCCGATGCAGAGAATAATCGCTGGATGACGTGAAAAAGTAATTTGAAGGGATTAGTCCCTTAGTCTTGAAAGGACGTGTTCAGCTGGAAATAGTTATTTAATTCCACTGATAATTCTCTTTTCCAGGTTTGTGTAATGGATGTGGTCGGTCATGATGGTGAGCCTTTCATCCAGGCTGAGTAATATAAGATTTTTGCAAAGTAGACAATGTCTGACCGTCTCTGCTATGCTCTCGGGACACAGTCAAAGCTACACTGGAAGATGACAGTCAGGAAGATATGGAATGTGTACTTTCAGCCAGTGGACAACTCAAACAAGTGTCATGGTGTCAAGGTCAGACAAGACGTCGCTTAGACTAACATCAACATCAGCTGGCAGTGCCACTCACAGGGCCAAGGGAATACATTTGGCTTCTCTACTGCTTCTCTGCTGCGCCACACACGCAGGTACACTCATTCTTCACTTAGGTAATAGTTTTAGCGAACGAAACAAATCGTGTAAACAAAGAGAGGAAATATCTCCTGCTTAACGAAAGTTTAAAGACACCTGTAAGCTTATTTAGGTACAGGTACACATAAGTACAATTATCATACATAGTGTAAATTACCTGGGATAATCCCAGGTAATTTATTTCCATCAGGGTCCTTGATTTCCATCCCTGATGCATCAGGGATGGAAAAGGAAGTATCTTGATGCTCGTGAAGGGTTCTTCATTAAATAAATTTGACACACACTCCTCTTTCTTGGATCAAGCAGATTACCTTTCATTCCCAGGCGCTATATGACCCGTGTGGATTTAGCGCTTCCCCAACGGCACTATTAATCGCGCTGTCACTCTGCTCAACGCAACTCCGCTCCGGAAATTGTTGGTTTCCTACTTGGCCTGAAACTTAAGATGTCTGTAATATTAAAGCGTGTTAGGGAGGTCCACCCGAGAGGCTTAAGCCAGCGGCTGCAAGAATCGTCAACCGGTTTAGAGAGAGGATCGGAACTTATGAGAACACGATCCTGACACCATGGTCTCCAGCAGCTCATCCTGGCCATGGGATCACGTTTCAAATTTAAATTGTAGTTTCTTGTAAAATAAATCAAATCACATATTTGTAGTCGAAGTTTAAGTAAGGATATCCTTGTCGAGATTGATGGACTGACCACATCGACTCAAGGTTGAGGGACTGATTACCTCATTCTCCTCCTGTTCTTCAAGATTCTCCTTTGTATGGACTGATGAAGCCACTGTGTGGCGAAACGTTTCCTCAATAAAGATATCAAACTGGAGGTCGTCACCACTGTAACCTGTCGACAAGCTGAAGGTCGTTATCACTGTAACCTGTCAACAAGCTGAAGGTCGTTACCCTTGTAACCTGTCAACAAACTGGAGGTCGTTACCACTGTAACCTGTCAACAAGCTGAAGGTCGTTACCACTGTAATTTGTCAATAAGCTGGAAGTCGTTAGGTAAGACACATATGCAACAGTTAGGTATCTTTATTATAATAATATTATAATAAAGATACCTAACTGTTGCATATGTGTCTTACCTAACAACCTGTCGGTATTTTATACCATTTTAATGTTCAAGCTGGAAGTCGTCACCACTGTAACTTGTCGACAAGCTGGAGGTCGTCACCAATGTAACCTGTCGACAAACTGGAGGTCGTCACCACTGTAACCTGTCAACAAACTGGAGGTCGTTACCACTGTAACCTGTCAACAAGCCGAAGGTCGTTACCACTGTAACCTGTCAACAAGCTGAAGGTCGTTACCACTGTAACTTGTCAACAAGCTGGAAGTCGTCACCACTGTAACTTGTCGACAAGCTGGAGGTCGTCACCACTGTAACCAGTCGGCAAGCTGGAGGTCGTCACCACTGTAATCTGTCAACAAGCTAGAGGTCGTCACCATTGTAACCTGTCAACAAGCTGGAGGTCGTTACCACTGTACTTGTCAACAAGCTGGAGGTCGTCACCACTGTAACTTGTCGACAAGCTGGAGGTCGTCACCACTGTAACCTGTCGACAAGCTGGAGGTCATTACCACTGTAACCTGTCAACAAGCTAGAGGTCGTCCCCATTGTAACTTGTCGACAAGCTGGAGGTCGTCACCACTGTAACCTGTCAACAAGCTGGAGGTCGTCACCACTGTAACCTGTCAACAAGCTGGAGGTCGTCACCACTGTAACCTGTCAACAAGCTAGAGGTCGTCCCCATTGTAACCTGTCAACAAGCTGGAGGTCGTTATCATCGTAATTTGATGACGATATACCCGGCAACTGGCACCGACAAGTTTGGTATAAAGACCCAGTCTACGCAGCAAATACTTATTCTAAAGATGTTACGCTCCTTTCTCAAGGTACAGAAGTCACAGGTGTGCTCCTTTTCTCATGTGTATAACCCAGGTGTGTGTGTGTGTGGCATTCAACCACATGTGCATATGTGTTTATAATTCAGGTGTGTTTCCTTCCCCTGCCACCAGGTGGTGCTGGGGTGTTGCAGAGGTTCGTGGAGACCCCGAGGAGTGTGCAAGTGAGGGAGGGGGTTGACGTGGCCCTCAGGTGCCGGGTGGCACACCAGCAGGGCCAGGCACAGTGGACCAAAGATGGCTTCGCTCTAGGTGAGTCACCTGACCAGGTGCTCCTGTTTCCTCTGCTTCTTCTTAGTGATGGCAACATGTTCCTAGTGCTGGCAACATGTTCCTAGTGCTGGCAACATGTTCCTAGTGCTGGCAATATGTTCCTAGTGCTGGCAATATGTTCCTAGTGCTGGCAACTTGTTCCTAGTCCTGGCAACATGTTCCTAGTCCTGGCAACATGTTCCTAGTCCTGGCAACATGTTCCTAGGGCTGGCAACTTGTTCCTAGTGCTGGCAACATGTTCCTAGTGCTGGCAACTTGTTCCTAGTGCTGGCAACATGTTCCTAGTGCTGGCAACATGTTCCTAGTGCTGGCAACATATTCCTAGTGCTGGCAACTTCTTCCTAGTCCTGGCAACATGTTCCTAGTGCTGGCAACATGTTCCTAGTGCTGGCAACTTGTTCCTGGTGTTGGCAACATGTTCGTAGTGCTGGCAACATGTTCCTAGCGCTGGCAACATGTTCCTAGTGCTGGCAACATGTTCCTAGTGCTGGCAACTTGTTCCTAGTACTGGCAACATGTTCCTAGTGCTGGCAACTTGTTCCTAGTGCTGGCAACATGTTCCTAGTCCTGGCAACATATTCCTAGTGCTGGCAACTTGTTCCTAGTGCTGGCAACATGTTCCTAGTCCTGGCAACTTGTTCCTAGTCCTGGCAACACGTTCCTAGTGCTGGCAACATGTTCCTAGTGCTGGCAACTTGTTCCTAGTGCTGGCAACATGTTCCTAGTCCTGGCAACTTGTTCCTAGTCCTGGCAACTTGCTCCTAGTGCTGGCAACATGTCCCTAGTCCTGGCAACTTGTTCCTAGTCCTGGCAACATGTTCCTAGTCCTGGAAACATATTCCTAGTCCTGGCAACTTGTTCCTAGTCCTGGAAACTTGCTCCTAGTCCTGGCAACTTGTTCCTAGTCCTGGCAACTTGTTACTAGTCCTGGCAACTTGTTCCTAGTCCTGGCAATATGTTCCTAGTCCTGGCAACTTGTTCCTAGTGTTGGCAACATGTTCCTAGTCTTGGCAACTTGTTCCTAGTCCTGGCAACATGTCCCTAGTCCTGGCAACTTGTTCCTAGTGTTGGCAACATGTTCCTAGTCCTGGCAACTTGTTCCTAGTCCTGGCAACATGTTCCTAGTCCTGGCAACTTGTTCCTAGTCCTGGCAACTTGTTCCTAGTCCTGGCAACTTGTTCCTAGTCCTGGCAACTTGTTCCTAGTCCTGGCAACTTGTTCCTAGTCCTGGCAACTTGTTCCTAGTCCTGGCAACTTGTTCCTAGTCCTGGCAACATGTTCCTAGTCCTGGCAACTTGTTCCTAGTCCTGGCAACTTGTTCCTAGTCCTGGCAACTTGTTCCTAGTCCTGGCAACTTGTTCCTAGTCCTGGCAACTTGTTCCTAGTCCTGGCAACATGTTCCTAGTCCTGGCAACTTGTTCCTAGTGTTGGCAACATGTTCCTAGTCCTGGCAACTTGTTCCTAGTCCTGGCAACATGTTCCTAGTCCTGGCAACTTGTTCCTAGTGTTGGCAACATGTTCCTCGTCCTGGCAACTTGCTCCTAGTCCTGGCAACTTGTTCCTAGTCCTGGCAACTTGTTCCTAGTCCTGGCAACTTGTTCCTAGTCCTGGCAACTTGTTCTTACAAACACAGGGAAATGGAAACAAAAGGTAACGAACAAAAGACTAACACAATAAGAAAACGATTTGAAGCAAACGTCACCAACAGAAAACAGACAAGATGGTAGAAAACAGACAAGATGGTAGAAAACAGACAAGATGGTAGAAAACAGACAAGATGGTAGAAAACAGACAAGATGGTAGAAAACAGACAAGATGGTAGAAAAGAAACAAAACAATAGCGGACATAAAGATAAGAAAAAATAATAACAATAAGAAGCAAACAAAACAATAAGAAACAAGTAAACATAAGAAAATAAAGATTTAAAACTAAAATAAACACTAAACCTGGTATTAAAGAGAGAATTAGACGTGTGTACATAGAAATAGTACCTATAAATACGTAATTGTGTGATAATAAAAGAAGAATGAGAATAAGATGCGAGAAAATACTACTACTACTACTACTACTACTACTACTACTACTACTACTACTACTAATAATAATAATAATAATAATAATAATAATAATAATAATAATAATAATTTTTATTTTCAGTATAGGAGACATTTTCTAAAAAATCGAAAAAGATCATAGAATGAACAGCATTTCGGACAGTTGGTCTTTTATTAAAACTAAAACATTTTGTGAAGCAGCGGAGCTGGAGAGAGTTTAACACTCGCCATGGTGCGTTTTATGTCGATTTGATATGTAGTTTTTTTTTTTTTTTTTTTTTTTTTGGGGGGGGGGGGGGATCTGAAAATCGTTGTTAGATGGAGGAGCCTTTGTGGCGTCATAATATTGGGTGAGACAAGTGGACGCCATGGACTCGTGACGCCAGTGTTGGGTGAGACAAGTGGACGCCATGGACTCGTGACGCCAGTGTTGGGTGAGACAAGTGGACGCCATGGACTCGTGACGCCAGTGTTGGGGGAGACAAGTGGACGCCATGGACTCGTGACGCCAGTGTTGGGTGAGACAAGTGGACGCCATGGACTCGTGACGCCAGTGTTGGGTGAGACAAGTGGACGCCATGGACTCGTGACGCCAGTGTTGGGTGAGACAAGTGGACGCCATGGACTCGTGACGCCAGTGTTGGGTGAGACAAGTGGACGCCATGGACTCGTGACGCCAGTGTTGGGTGAGACAAGTGGACGCCATGGACTCGTGACGCCAGTGTTGGTGAGGCAAGTGGACGCCATGGACTCGTGACGCCAGTGTTGGGTGAGACAAGTGGACGCCATGGACTCGTGACGCCAGTGTTGGGTGAGACAAGTGGACGCCATGGACTCGTGGCGCCAGTGTTGGGTGAGACAAGTGGACGCCATGGACTCGTGACGCCAGTGTTGGGTGAGACAAGTGGACGCCATGGACTCGTGACGCCAGTGTTGGGTGAGACAAGTGGACGCCATGGACTCGTGGCGCCAGTGTTGGGTGAGACAAGTGGACGCCATGGACTCGTGACGCCAGTGTTGGGTGAGACAAGTGGACGCCATGGACTCGTGACGCCAGTGTTGGGTGAGACAAGTGGACGCCAAGTACTCGTGACGGCAGTGTTGGGTGAGACAAATGGACGCCAAGTACTCGTGACTCTGTATTTAACCAAAACGAATTATTGTAGCCATTCCAATTTGCTTCGTACTCTTGGGAAATCTGGTCCTTGTGGCCCGGCTGCCACTAGTGGTACAGTCACATCCAGGCCCCAGCTTCAGTTCAATGGCTCACCCAGTCTTATTTCCTGTCCCGAGTGTTATCTATCTCCCCAGGGCATGCACACACACACACACACACACACACACCACACACACACACACACACACACACCACACACACACAACACACACAACAACACAACACAACACAACACAACACACCACACAAACACACACACACACACACACACACACACAAACACACACACAAAACACACACACACAACACACACACACACACACACACACAAACACACACACCACACACATACACACACACACAACACACACACACAAAACACACACACAAACACCACACACACCCCCCACCAAACACACACACACACACAAACACACACACAAACACACACACACAAACACACACACACAAACACACACATACATACATACACACACAAACACACAGTGGGCACCTGTGACGAGCGGGATCCCACAGGGGTCGGTCCTAGGACCAGTGCTATTTTTGGTATATGTGAACGACATGACGGAAGGGTTAGACTCAGAAGTGTCCCTGTTTGCAGATGATGTGAAGTTAATGAGGAGAATTAAATCTGATGAGGACCAGGCAGGACTTCAAAGAGACCTGGACAGACTGGACACCTGGTCCAGCAAATGGCTTCTTGAATTTAATCCTGCCAAATGCAAAGTCATGAAGATAGGGGAAGGGCACAGAAGACCACAGACAGAGTATAGGCTAGGTGGCCAAAGACTGCAAACCTCACTCAAGGAGAAAGGTCTTGGGGTGAGTATAACACCGAGCATGTCTCCGGAAGCACACATCAATCAGATAACTGCTGCAGCATATGGGCGCCTGGCAAACCTGAGAACAGCATTCCGATACCTTAGTAAGGAATCATTCAAGACACTGTACACCGTGTATGTCAGGCCCATACTGGAGTATGCAGCACCTGTTTGGAACCCGCACTTGATAAAGCACGTCAAGAAACTAGAGAAAGTACAAAGGTTTGCGACAAGGTTAGTTCCAGAGCTAAGGGGAATGTCCTATGAAGAAAGATTAAGGGAAATCGGCCTGACGACACTGGAGGACAGGAGGGTCAGGGGAGACATGACAACGACATATAAAATACTGCGTGGAATAGACAAGGTGGACAAAGACAGGATGTTCCAGGGAGGGGACACAGAAACAAGAGGCCACAATTGGAAGTTGAAGACACAAATGAGTCAGAGAGATAGTAGGAAGTATTTCTTCAGTCATAGAGTTGTAAGGCAGTGGAATAGCCTAGAAAATGACGTAGTGGAGGCAGGAACCATACACAGTTTTAAGACGAGGTTTGATAAAGCTCATGGAGCGGGGAGAGAGAGGGCCTAGTAGCAACCGGTGAAGAGGCGGGGCCAGGAGCTAGGACTCGACCCCTGCAACCACAAATAGGTGAGTACACACACACAAACACACACACAAACACACACACACACAAACACACACACAAACACACACACAAACACACATACATACATACACACACACAAACACACACAAACGCGCACACACACAAACACACACACAAACACACACACAAACGCACACGCACACACAAACACACACACATTCATACACACACACAAACACACACACACACACAAACACTCACAAACACACACACAAACACACACACAAACACACACACACATACATACACACAAACACACACAGAAACACAAACACACACAAACACACACACACAACACACACACAAACACACACACACAAACACACACATACACACACACACAAACACACACACAAACACACACACAAACACACACACACAAACACACACACAAACACACACAAACACACACACACACACACACACACATACACACACACACACACAAACACACACACACACACACACACACACACACACACACACACACACACACACACACACACACACATACATACACACTAGGTAACAAGTGACCTACAGCTTCCCTTGCTGTAACCTCTTCACCTTTTGGTCACTACTAAGCACTCGTGTGTATCTGCAGGTTTCGAGCGGGAGGTTCCTGGCTACCCTCGTTTCACCTACTTAGGTGACCCCAAAGCGGGTGAGCACCACCTACTCATCACTAGTGTGACAAGCAGAGACGAAGGGGAGTACCAGTGTCAAGTGGGACCCACTGCCACCAACCCTCCCATCTGGGCAGCTGCCAACCTCACAGTTCTCCGTAAGTCACCCCTCACACCTCCGTAACTAACCTCACAGTCAAGTAAATCACCCCTCACACCTCCGTAGCTAACCTTAACAGTCCACACCTCTATCCTTTAACAGCCTCACGGTCGTTAAGTGTTACCCTTACCGTCCCTTACCGTCCCTTACCGTACCTTACTGTACCTTACCGTACCTTACTGTACCTTACTGTACCTTACCGTACCTTACTGTACCTTACTGTACCTTACCGTACCTTACTGTATCTTACCGTCCCTTACCGTACCTAACCGTACCTTACTGTACCTTACCGTCCCTTACCGTACCTTACTGTACCTTACCGTACCTTACTGTACCTTACTGTACCTTACCGTACCTTACTGTACCTTACTGTACCTTACCGTCCCTTACCGTACCTAACCGTACCTTACTGTACCTTACCGTCCCTTACCGTACCTTACTGTACCTAACCGTACCTTACTGTACCTTACTGTACCTTACTGTACCTTACCGTCCCTTACCGTACCTAACCGTACCTTACCGTACCTTACTGTACCTTACTGTACCTTACCGTCCCTTACCGTCCCTTACCGTACCTAACCGTACCTTACTGTACCTTACTGTACCTTACCGTACCTTACTGTACCGTACTGTACCTTACCGTCCCTTACCGTAACTAACCGTACCTTACTGTACCTTACCGTCCCTTACCGTACCTTACTGTACCTTACCGTCCCTTACCGTACCTTACTGTACCTTACCGTCCCTTACCGTACCTTACTGTACCTTACCGTCCCTTACCGTCCCTTACCGTACCTTACTGTACCTTATCGTCCCTTACCGTACCTTACTGTACCTTACTGTACCTTACCGTCCCTTACCGTACCTAACCGTACCTTACTGTACCTTACCGTCTCTTACCGTACCTTACTGTACCTTACCGTCCCTTACCGTACCTTACTGTACCTTACCGTCCCTTACCGTACCTTACTGTACCTTACCGTCCCTTACCGTATCTAACCGTACCTTACTGTACCTTACCGTCCCTTACCATACCTTACCGTACCTTACTGTACCTTACCGTCCTTTACCGTCCCTTACCGTACCTAACCGTACCTTACCGTCCCTTACCGTACCTAACCGTACCTTACTGTACCTTACCGTCCCTTACCGTACCTTACTGTACCTTACCGTCCCTTACCGTACCTTACTGTACCTTACCGTCCCTTACCGTACCTTACTGTACCTTACCGTCCCTTACCGTATCTAACCGTACCTTACTGTACCTTACCGTCCCTTACTATACCTTACCGTACCTTACTGTACCTTACCGTCCCTTACCATACCTTACCGTACCTTACTGTACCTTACCGTCCCTTACCATACCTTACCGTACCTTACTGTACCTTACCGTCCCTTACCGTACCTTACTGTACCTTACCGTCCCTTACCGTATCTAACCGTACCTTACTGTACCTTACCGTCCCTTACTGTACCTTACTGTACCTTACTGTACCTTACCGTCCCTTACCGTCCCTTACCGTACCTTACCGTCCTTTACCGTCCCTTAACATACCTTACCGTACCTTACTGTACCTTACCGTCCCTTACCGTCCCTTACCGTCCCTTACCGTCCCTTACCGTACCTTACCGTCCTTTACCGTCCCTTAACATACCTTACCGTACCTTACTGTACCTTACCGTCCCTTACCGTCCCTTGCCTCTTATCACTCACTTCCTCATGAAAATATAAATTCACGTGAAAAAAAAAATTGTGATAAAATGAGATACGAATGTTGTGTTTATATAAACATTGATAAATATTGTTATGTCCCAGAATCAAACTTAAGCAGAATATTAATATACATTTCAGTAAGCCTCAGTACCCTCATCAGAACCAAAAAAATTATATACAATATTGTACTTAAAATACTCCTTTTATATTGAAAAAAAAAATCCTAGTGAATTATGTTATCTGTTGCCAACAGGAGTGAATCTTTTTCTGATAATAAATAACAACGATATGATGGCTTATATAGATTTGGATCCCAAGAGTATGTTGTATTAAGAAATAAAAATGTTATATTACTTCTGTTAAGTACGTAGTAGAGCAGAGATTTAGTATAATCAAATGAGATGACTGTTTCGTATTTTTCAACGTGTGTTGTGTTAGTACCACCAGTGAGCATCATGATGGAGGGCGAGAGTGACGGCTCAGTACTGGAGGTGACGGAGGGTGAGAATATTACCCTCCACTGTGTGGTCACTGGAGCCACACCTCCACCCACTGTACACTGGTACTTGGGTCCTCGCCTCGTAGATTCAGGTAGGTCAGAACAGAGTCAAGTTCTCTGAATTACCTCTTTTTGTGCTCCATGAACGTTTTTTTATGTTCTGAGACGATTCTTGTGTCATAAAATCACGCCCCAATTTTTTTTTTTCAGTGAAAGTTGTCTTAATTATATCCATACCCGAGTCTTGACATATTTAAGAAACTTCTTTTTAAAAAACCTGTATAAAGAGTTTATTTTATCTGTAACTACTTGTTTAATTAATAGAAGTTCCGACTCTGGCAACGTTTGTCAAGTGGACGACGAGGCTACTAATGATGTTATTTGTGTATATTATGACAAACTTTTTTATATGAGCATTGTAATTATCATTATTAATTACTGACAGCTGGTAGGAGTTATTACTTACATGAACTGTACTCACCTAATTGTGGTTGCAGGGGTCGAGACTCAGCTCCTGGCCCCGCCTCTTCACTGATCGCTACTAGGTCCTCTCCCTCTCTGCTTCCTGAGCTATGTCATACCTCTTCTTAAAACTATGTATGGTTCCTGCCTCCACTACTTCACTTGCTAGGCTATTCCACTTCCTGACGACTCTATGACTGAAGAAATACTTCCTAACGTCCCTGTGACTCGTCTGAGTCTTCAGCTTCCAGTTGTGACCCCTTGTTTTTGTGTCCCCTCTCTGGAACATCCTGTCTTTGTCCACCTTGTCTATTTCTCGAAGTATCTTGTATGTCGTTATCATGTCTCCCCTGACCCTTCTGTCCTCCAGTGTCGTCAGTCCGATTTGTGTGTGTGTGTGTGTGTGTGTGTGTGTGTGTGTGTGTGTGTGTGTGTGTGTGTGTGTGTGTGTGTGTGTGTGTGTGTGTGTGTGTGAATCACTATTTTCTCTGCGGTAAATTATTTATAATTATCGTAATCATAAGGAATTGTTAAACTTGGGAAGTAATCAATTTTGATTCGATGAAGTGAAAAGGCAACTCCAGTTCCTTGGATCAAGACCACTTCCCCATTTTGAAGGATGACGAGGTAGCCTCATCATATGCGAATTTAGTGTTTTTTTTATATAATAAAAACGAGTCTGTCTTTAACAATAGTAGTAATTAACCCAGCTCGCCTCCATTTCATATTTCCCCCTCGTACATGCTACCTGATATCGACCCAAGACGTTCTTTTACGTACTTCCTTGATTCCTTCAGGTGTTCTACGCCTCCAAAGTCTCCCTGAATGAGCCTTGATACTGCTGGAGATGCCACGGCTAAATTCTTACCAACACGCTTCTCATCACTGAGATTGAACTTCATTCATTTGTTGAATGACGGAGGACGTTTGTCCAGGACTTCCTACTGTTTCTTGCACTCGTCAGTCATTACTGTGGAACTCCATTTGTTAATTGTTGCTCTCTGAGGAGTCTTTTTCTTACTCCTACTTTCTACCTTCTATTCCTTAGGTATTTTTCTTATCCAGTTAAGTACCTTCCCTGTCATCTCAATCTATTTTTCTGTTTCGTACTGAGGATCAAAAAAATAATGGGATCATTTTCGTTCATTAGATGTAATATATTGAGCCTGCACCACGAGACGTACAAAGATTTCTTCACTCACACCAACTCATTTTTTTCCGTAGCAATCATCCCGTGCATCCTTAACACGTAATTTTCGTTAACACTAGTAAACCAAAGAAGTTTCTTTGACGCTACACAGCGCAGGTGGAGTCGCAGGTGGTGGAGTCGTCGGTGCCTCACAGGTGGAGCATGAGAAGCCAGTTGGTGCTGACAGCCGAAGCTGAAGACGACGGTCAGAGAGTGACCTGCCGGGGTGAGCACCCAGCAATGGTGGCACCAGCAGTTCTCAGTGCCTCACGCACCCTGGCCGTCCTCCGTGAGTACTTCACTTTATTAACAAAATTAGATATGATTGCGTTATGCGGCTGCTCAATTCTATTTGGTAGTTAAACCATCACATTAAAAGCTAGTTCAGGAAAGGGCTATTATTTTGACTGTCGGTCCACATAGCAAGTTTAGACAACCTTAGCGGGCTACACATATCGACGTAAAATTGTAAATATTTAAACCATACCACGGGCGGGGATGGAACCCGAGATCCGAGTCTCAAAACTCCAGACCGTGGCTAGCTGGTCCAGTGGCTAACGCGACGGTCTGGAGTTTTGAGACTCTCTGATCGCGGTTTCTATCCCCGCCCGTGGTATGGTTTGTTTGCAATCGTGTCATTACGATTTCGTGAGTCATGTTAACGGCTTTGAGGGGACTTGAGCTAGAGTTCGTCACGGCCACGCTAGCTGGAGATTCGTCTGTAAAAACTTGCATTTGTGGTCACAGTGGTGCCTATGCTAACCTTCCTATGGTGTAGAAATATACCTAGTTGGACGAATCTTATTGTGGCTAGCTGGTCTAGTGGCTAACACGACGGTCTGGAGTTTTGTGACTCTCTGATCGCGGGTTCTATCCCCGTCCGTGGTATGGTTTGTTTGCAATCGTGTCATTACGATTTCGTGAGTCATGTAAATATTTAATAAGAGCTCAAGTTTAAGTGCGACCAGCATTGCCAGGTCTCCCTGTTTTGAGTGTCACATATCTCTTTCTAATGAGGACATAATGAAGAGGAATTCTTTCTTAAATTGGAGATAATAAATTCTCTTAAATTTCTGGACACAATGGCGAGCCGGATATGTCTCGTGGACCGTATTTTGTTCATCCCTGCTTTACTTGGAGTCTGCCTGGAGGGTGTCCCGGGGTCAGCGCACCCGCTGCCCAGTCCTTGACCAGACCTTTAGATACTAGTTGCTGATACATTTATTTTATTGATAAAGACAGATGATTTCAAAATATTGGTTGTTTACAGAGATGAAAGGGGGCGAAGGCCTGCTTGTAAGAGAGAGAGAGAGAGAGAGAGAGACAGAGAGAGACAGAGACAGAGACAGAGAGACAGACAGACAGACACAGACAGAGAGAGAGAGAGAGAGAGAGAGATGGAAGATGGGAGGGATGGGGAGGTAGGATGATGAGAGGGAGAGAGAGAGAGAGAGAGAGAGAGAGAGAGAGAATCTTGAATAACATGCAAATAAATATTATTCATTGATCTACACTCATAAATCATACCAGCTCTGGTGTACCGCAGATGCCCCCAGCACGCCCGTCATCAGTGGGTATTTACCAGGCGAGGTACTAGTGTCTGGGGAGCACCGTACCCTCACCTGCCGTGTGTCGGGGGGCAACCCGCGCCCCTCCCTCCTGTGGTACCGCAGTGGTCGCCTCCTCGACGACACCTTCTCCAGCGACGCCGGCGGTAGTGTCAACACATACAACCTGTTGGTGACATCAACAGAGGATAATGCCCAATATGAGTGCCGAGCCATGAACCAGTTGATGGAGCAGCCATTGATGGCTAACATCACCCTCACCGTCCACTGTAAGATCAATTATTATTATTATTCTTATTATTATTATTATTGTTGTTGTTGTTGTTGTTGTTCTTTTTATTGTTACCGTTGTTTCATTATTAGATATACCCGAACGGGAACCTTTAAGCTGTTGCCTGATTTTTTTGAGAACTTGAGAACGTCTCATCGTATCGGCTTCAAATTTTAAAAGTTTTAACGCTGGTCTACTGTAATTAGGAAATGATTCAGGCAACTAGTGGCATGTGAAGATGACTTCTGCTCACTGTTATACAGACCATTCTCGGATTTGGTTTACATGCGATAACTTGAGAGAATCTCTTCCGCTAGGGTTCAAACTTTTGACACTGGTGTATCCTACTTAGAAGGCTGGGATTGTTGCTGGCACGTGTAGGCAATAATTTACTAATTTTATTTTTAAAATGGTAAATTTTTTGTTTGTGTAATAACATGAGTAGGTCTCTTCTGGACACCTTCAGTCTTTAATTATGGTAATTATAGACAGGATACGTAATTAGTTCAGGTTTTGCAGATGCAAATTTGCCACTTTTCTAGGTTAGGTTAGGTAAGGTTCGTCATGAAACAAGACAAGTGTTTCCTGACGGGGGTCTTAGTCAGATGATGACCCACAGCCGGAACTTTTGGTCATCTAACCAAGACCTTCCACTGGCTTACCAGTCCATCCCTCTAAAAATTATGGTTATAAGTATTTTCCATACATCGTTAATATACGTGAACTCGTTGGATTCCGAGAAAAATCTATAGGATGCCTCTTCCGATCGACCTCAAACTTTTCGTAATGGTAGGCGTGGCTTAAAGGTTCTCATTAATTTTGAACAGTTACAGTTTTAATTTGCCCATTTTAGTAAACAAACTGGTTTGTATGGAGCAACTAGAGACTACCTCCTGTGACTATTATTGTGTATATGACACCTCAGACCCACCACTGGAGGTGAGTGTATTGGGACCATCCCGGGTGGAAGCTGGTACCTCTGTCTCTCTCACCTGTGTTACATCAGAAGCCAACCCTCCAGCCTCCCTCACCTGGCTCATCCAAGGTATGTGGCTCACATTACCTCTTACTACTTATCTATTGGTAATTACCTGATGTACTTACCTACTGGTAGCTGCTTATTGTAGTTAGCCGGGTACCTAATTACTGCTACACGACCATAGGTCTCCAACCAAAATTCTCGAGATGTGGACAGATTGATGACATTACTGAACGTGTATGTGTGTGTGTACTCACCTAATTGTGGTTGTAGGGGTCAATACTCAGCTTCTGGCCCCGCCTCTTCACTTATCGCTACTTTGTCCTCTCTCTCTCTCTCTCTCTCTCTCTGCTCCCTGAGCTTTATCATACCTTGTCTTAAAGCTATGTATGGTTCCTGCCTCCACTACATCACTTGCTAGACTATTCCACTTCCTGACAACTCTATGACTGAAGAAATACTTCCTAACATCCTTTTGACTCGTCTGAGTCTTCAGCTTCCAATTGTGACCCCTTGTTTCTGTGTCCCCTCTCTGGAACATCCTGTCTCTGTCCACCTTATCTATTCCACGCAGTATTTTGTATGTCGTTATCATGTCTCTCCTAAACCCCCCCTGTCCTCCAGTGTCGTCAGGCCGATTCCCCTTAACCTTTCTTCGTAGGACATTCCCCTTAGCTCCGGAACTAGCCTTGTTGCAAACCTTTGCACTTTCTCTAATTTCTTGACGTGCTTGACCAGGTGTGGGTTCCAAACTGGTGCTGCATACTCTAGTATGGGCCTGACGTACACGGTGTGTGTGTGTGTGTGTGTGTAAATAATATATCATGTTAGATTATGTATCTCATAGATAAACAGTGATTTATAAGGATGAAGTTAAACATTTTATGGAATAGTTCAGATATAATATTTTGATATTTAAAAACGGAGAAGTGGATATATAAGTAGAAAAAACGATGATGATAATAATAATAATAATAATAATAATAATAATAATAATAATAATAATAATAATAATAATGAACACATATAAGTAATAATAATATACAAAATTAAATAAAATCTTAAATACATTTACAGAATAAAAGGAATTAGCTAAGTTAATAAGTATAATAATAACAGTTGACAATAGGAGGAGGAGGATTACTAAGAGGATTGAGAGGCGGGCAGTGGATGTTAATCCCTTAAACAAGAGCATCAGCCACACACTCTGCTGTAGGTGAAGCTGTGTCGTCGCCAGCAGCGGTGGTAAGCCAGGTGAGGTCTGGAGGGTGGGTGAGCAGGTCGAGGCTGGTGCAGAAGGTGCAGGAGAGCCACCTGCGGGAGGACACCCACCAGCTGCAGGTGGTGTGTAAGGCACAACACCCAGTACTGGCACGACCCATGTACAAGACGTTTCTTCTAAGTGTGACTGGTGAGTTGTAGAGGAAGGTACACCCACTATGGTATACCAACTTTAGACGAGGTTCTAAGAACCGCCGCTGAATTATACAAAACATTCATACAAGAATGGCGACCTTCAAGGAAGCCAAAAAACTAATTTCAATTTTGTAATTAATTTAAATGAGTCTCTCAGAAACCAGATATTTTAGCTAAGAACCTTTACTCTGTTTTAGCTAAGAACCTCTATTCTATTTTCCTAAGAACCTCTGTTCTATTTTGGCTAAGAACCCCTATTCTATTTTGCTAAGAACCTATATTTTATTTTGGCCAAAAACCTCTGATTTTTTTGCTAAGAACCTCTTTTATTATTTTTTTTTTTTTTTTTTTTTGATAAAAGCCTCTTATTTTTTTTTTTTTTTTTTTTTTTTTTTGATAAGAACCTCTGTTCTATTTTGGCTAAGAACTTTTTTGGTTAATGCAAAACGCGAACATTTGATATATTTAAGTCAAGAGAAATCCTGTGGACGACCAGAAATTTTAAGATTATACGAAGAATTATTAACTTTGTTTAATTTTGTTTACAAATGAACTGAAGGAAATGTTAAATATAATTTATGATTATTATTTTTCTCCAACCTCCTTTCCTTCTTTCGATTATCCCTCTTCCTCCTTCGTCTCCTCCTCGCCCTACGTCTCGTCTTCCTTGTCCTATCTCTCTTCTACCTCTCATTCCCTTACCTCTTCATTCGCTCTTCTTCCCATATTTCTCCCTCCTATCTTCTTTTCTCTTCTATTCTCCTTTTCTCTATCCATCCTCTCTTCCTACTTTATCTTTTCCTCTCCACTCTGCCTCTTCATTCCTTTTCATCCTCTTCTGTTCTTCCGCCGGTGCCAGAGCCAGCAGGGCCACCTGTACTGGAGGGTGACCTCACACAGGAGGTCACCCAAGGTACCTGGCTTAACCTCACCTGTTCTGCGGCTGGAGGTCACCCGCAACCCACCCTCAGGTAGGTACTGTTGTTGTTGTTAGTCTTTTCTTGTTGTTGTTGTTGTTGGTGTTGGTAGTGGTGGTGATAGAATTGTTGGTGGCGGTAGCAGTGTTGTTGTTGGTAGTGGTGGTGATAGAATTGTTGGTGGTGGTAGTAGTGTTGTTGTTGGTAGTGGTGGTGATAGAATTGTTGTTGTTGGTGGTAGAAGTATTGTTATTGTTGTTATAGTTGTTTTTGTTGCTATTGGCTGCTATAGGCAGTGGTGTGTACTCTCAGGGTTGTGAACCGGGGGTCGAGTCGCAGCTCCTTGTGGTTGTAGGTTTTTCGAGGAAGGTGGGGGTGGAGGATTATCTGAAACTGCAGTTATCGTCCGCTTCTTTGGATCAAACCTGGCTAATTCTCTCCCTCTCATTCCCCAAGGGATGTATGACCCCTACATATTTAGCGCTTCCCCTACATATAATGAATCAACAACAACAATAATTAAGAATAGTAATAATAATATTTATAATTATAATAATAATAGTATTTATAATATTAATAATAATGTTAATGCTAACAAGTAAAAATAATAATATTAATGCTAACAATAGTAGTAGTGATAATAATAATAATAATAATAATAATAATAATAATAATAATAATCATTGTGTGCCTCTGACAGGATGTATAAAGATGGTGTGTTAATACCAACGAAGGTGGTGCAGGAGGGGGCGGTGACCCGCGTCAGGGGTCAAGTGAAGGTCACACCAGCTGATAACGGGTCAGAGGTTAAGTGTGAGGTCACCAGTGCTGCCAGCGGGTCACCCAAGGTCACCTCCAGGACGCTCACTGTCAAGTGTAAGTTCTCGGTGTAGTAATAGATACAAAACTGGGTCATCCTGTTCATGGAGGCTCGATACTCCGTCCGTGTGGGTGACCGTATCCATGGAGGCTCGATACTCCGTCCGTGTGGATCATCCCCACATCTCATTTTTATTACATTCATGGGGTAATTACTAAACCCACAAGGGTTGCACAAAGCCTGGGGAAATGAGAGGGGAGTGGGGTAGATCAGGTTTAATCCGAGGAACTGGAGGATAACTCCAATTCCTGGATTAAGAACTCTTTGAGAGCACCAAGGTACTGTCTCACTGACGTGTTCTCTACTACAGTCGCGCCGCTGGAAGTGTCTGTGAGGGCAGTGCCCAGTACCTCCCAGGTGGGGCAGGTGGTGAGGCTCACCTGCCTGGCCTCCTCCAGCCACCCCCCAGCCACCATCACCTGGACGTCAGGAGACGTCACCTTGCAGGGGGACGTCACCTACTCCACACCTGCCGCGTTTGGTGGCACCAGCAGTAGGTGAGTAGGCTGGCACCTCACTACAAAGGCACGAGGTAAGTAGATCGAAACTCCTGTTCATGTGGCACTCGGGTATCCCAAAGTCACCTAAGTGTTACACATGTGTCTTATCAATGTACTTGCACTGTGTACCATCAATAATATATCACTTCTGTTTACGTCAGTTGTGTGGCACCAGGCGAATAGAAAATTTGGCACCTGGCTCTCTAATATCCCTTTACTGTTTTCAAATCACCCCATTTTTTCCTTTAGCGCTACATGACTTAATTACTAAAGCATTCCTATGTGTGTGTCAACAGGTCAGAGCTGCAGGTGAACACAACGGCTGAGGACAACGGTAGAGTGTTGGTGTGTCAAGCTCACAACGGTGTGGGCACCCCCGTCAGCAAGCACGTCACTCTTAACGTCTTACGTGTGTAAACTGCAGTCATATGTGTTATGATATTCTCTCTCTCTCTCTCTCTCTCTCTCTCTCTCTCTCTCTCTCTCTCTCTCTCTCTCTCTCTCTCTCTCTCTCTCTCTCTCTCTCTCTTCGTTATCTACCAGCCTATCTCGCTATCTACCCGTTTTTTAATCACATGTAATATGATGAACCATACCCCCGGCCGGGATTGAACCCGCGGTCAGTCTCAAAACTCCAGCCCGTCGCGTTAGCCGGGCTGGAGTTTTGAGACTCTATGACCGCGGGTTCAATCCCGGCCGGGGGTATGGTTTATTTGCAATCGTGTCATTACGATTTCTTAAGTCATGTAATATGATGTTTTGTTGTGAATAAATTGTATTAACACTCCCGATGTAATTTCACAGTGCACTGTAGAACCCTCTTATGACTGTAAATGATGACTTAGATATATGCACAACTGTTAGAGATGAGGTAATCAGTCCCTCAGATTTGCACGATTCTGTGCAGAAGACGTTGTTAGATAAGGTGTCAGTCCCTCAACCTTGAAGGTGCTCAATACCTTAACCTTGATAAATCAAGATCAAGGTACTGGAAGGTCACAGACTCAGACCTTAGAAGGAAGATGGAGCCTCGAACGTTTTACACATTGTTTTTCTCAGGATTTAAATTTGAAATGTTTGAAAGTAATGTTGCCATCTCTGCTGCCCGCAGACCCACCTGTGTGGAGAGAGAAGCCAGTCTCACATCTGGACGTTCTGGAAGGCACTCGGGTCGTGCTCACTGCCTTCGCCACAGCCAATCCTGGCCCCGTCAGGTTAGCACTAAAGTACATATTTTATTTTATTAACCATAACACAGAAGTGAAATATTTGATGGATGAAGATTTATCATCTTCATTTAAACCAAAAGCAAAACTTGTAGGCTCCTTCGCCCATGGAGTGTTAGGGAGACGGAGTCACCCAAGAACAGTCAGTAGATTCCATAATGAATCTTGGAGCATCAGCATAATTTAAAAGTAATGAAGGTCAGTGTCTCTTGCCTGTACTTGGTTTAGCGCTTCTTTTTTGATTATAATAATAAAAATCTTGCCTGTACTTATTTATTTTTTTATAAATAAAATTAGGTACACCCACAATGTACTGCTACCCTACTCTAATTACGTAATGCTGGTAGGAAGTACCTCTGTTACCCTGATCTGTTCCATCAAACAACACAAGTTTCATACCCAAGTTACGAAATCTGTCGACTTGAGCCCGGAGATCACAATAGGGTGGTGACAGTATTGTCAAATATTCCACTATGGGTTCAGTAGCTACGACATCTTTAAAAGTTTTCTTCCAACAGGACTGGGGTCACTTATATACTGTCATTGCCTACAGGTACTGGTGGAGTCGAGGGAACGAGAGGCTGTCAAGTTCCGGTGGTGAGCTAAGTCTGGGAATGGTCACCAGACATATGACTGCCAACTACACCGTCACCGCCTACACCAGTAGTGGAGAAATCAACACCTCCTTCTACATCAACGTCCAGTGTAGGTGTAGCAGCAATGTCAAAACTGAATGTTTTTTAGCCTGTTGATCTCAGGTATTAATGTATAATGCAGCTGGTAGAAGGTAAACAGGAACTTAAGTTCTGGTGTTGACCTCCCGTGAAGCAAGACATGGCTTGTAAACAATCAAAACAGCAATTGCTTATTTTATTTTATCTTAATATATTGTTATCTCAGGTTGGAGTATGTGAGTATATCAGTGCTGCAGCTGATCTGAGCAATGTTTAACTCAAGATAATAACTGATGAGAGATTAGGAAAATGTGCAGCTGAGTATCGAAATGTTTGACTTCCATCATATAGTGCCTAAATCACAGTCTATCTGGGAATTTGATTTCGTAGTCAGTCTGGTGGAAAGTTGGGAGAACCTGGAATGATTATTGTTAGCTGATATTGAACCCCTGAGGTGTCTAGATTGATGATCAAGCGAGTGTCATGAACCCCTGACGTGTCTAGATTGATGATCAAGTGAGGCGTGAACCCCTGAGGTGTCTAGATTGATGACCCAGCGGGTATCATGAACCCCTGAGGTGTCTAGATTGACAAGAGTGGGTGTTACTCCGTCACTCTTAAAGAATTTGAGAAACTCAAGATGGCTGCTGCAGAGGTCACTGATCATTAATGAATACTAAAAGATACAGGGATCAACATTAATATTGAGTATTTTAATCAAATTTATCCTTTATAAGGATTTCGGGTAAAGAAAGTCAACGACTGTACCACCTTCCTGCTGATAAGGATGTCGGTAGGATGATTCAATATAAATCGTATGTCCACTTTACAGTAAAGCAGCGGTTGAGGCAGTAAGATACTTGTCTTCCCAACACTTACCTTCCCAACACTTACCTTCCCAACACTTACCTTCCCAACACTTACCTTCCCAACACTTACCTTCCCAACACTTACCTTCCCAACACTTTCCTTCCCAACACTTTCCTTCCCAACACTTTCCTTCCCAACACTTACCTTCCCAACACTTACCTTCCCAACACTTTCCTTCCCAACACTTTCCTTCCCAACACTTTCCTTCCCAACACTTACCTTCCCAACACTTTCCTTCCCAACACTTTCCTTCCCAACACTTTCCTTCCCAACACTTACCTTCCCAACACTTTCCTTCCCAACACTTACCTTCCCAACACTTTCCTTCCCAACACTTTCCTTCCCAACACTTACCTTCCCAACACTTACCTTCCCAACACTTACCTTCCCAACACTTTCCTTCCCAACACTTTCCTTCCCAACACTTTCCTTCCCAACACTTTCCTTCCCAACACTTACCTTCCCAACACTTTCCTTCCCAACACTTTCCTTCCCAACACTTTCCTTCCCAACACTTACCTTCCCAACACTTTCCTTCCCAACACTTACCTTCCCAACACTTACCTTCCCAACACTTACCTTCCCAACACTTACCTTCCCAACACTTTCCTTCCCAACGCTTGCCTTCCCAACACTTACCTTCCCAACACTTACCTTCCCAACACTTTCCTTCCCAACACTTGTCTTCCCAATACTTGCCTTCCCAACACTTTCCTTCCCAACGCTTGCCTTCCCAACACTTGCATTCCCAACACTTTCCTTCCCAACATTTTCCTTCCCAACACTTTCCTTCCCAACGCTTGCCTTCCCAACACTTACCTTCCCAACACTTACCTTCCCAACACTTTCCTTCCCAACGCTTGCCTTCCCAACACTTACCTTCCTTCCCAACACTTACCTTCCCAACACTTTCCTTCCCAACGCTTGCCTTCCCAACACTTACCTTCCTTCCCAACACTTGCATTCCCAACACTTTCCTTCCCAACACTTGCCTTCCCAACACTTTCCTTCCCAACACTTGCCTTCCCAACACTTGCGTTCCCAACACTTTCCTTCCCAACACTTGCCTTCCCAACACTTGCCTTCCCAACACTTTCCTTCCCAACACTTGCCTTCCCAACACTTGCCTTCCCAACACTTGCCTTCCCAACACTTGCCTTCCCAACACTTGCCTTCCCAACACTTTCCTTCCCAACACCTGCCTTCCCAACACTTTCCTTCCCAACACTTGCCTTCCCAACACTTTCCTTCCCAACACTTGCCTTCTGGTGTATATCCAATGACTTATCTCTCGCAATAGGCTAAAATACTCTATACATCAAACTTAAACAGGCTGGAATACAGAATAAATGCTCTATAGAGAACTGTCATATTGATAGCTCTCTTGATTACCCAAATACAAATGATAGGTGTTCTCTAAGCGAAAATCTGGGACCGATAATTTCCAACCTTCAGTGTTAGTTGGCAGCTTCAGGTACTTAACAGTTCATGCAATATATGATGATTTAATCCGTGTTTGTAGATGGCCCCGAAAACATAAGTGCACCTGAACGTGTGATCGTAGGTGAAGGTGAGAATGTGAACGTACAGTGTTCAGCCAGTGGGAACCCCGTGCCATACCTCACCTGGTCCACCAGGTAAGTATCACCCTTGTATTAATAACACTAAACACTATAACGAAATCCTGTGTGCATTAGCATAGAATAATCTCGTCCAGCCGGTGTTTTTCCCTTGGGGGTAATCAGATTTGACCAAAAAAAAGGGAAATGCACCTCTCATTCCTCGGATCAAGAGTCCTTTACTAGCATCAAGGGAAAGTGGAGAATAATCCATCTGCCTCGGGAGTAGTAGTAGTAGTAGTGTCTGGAAGGTAGTGGTAATCACTCACCCAGGAAAACATTATCACTAATGATTCAGATAGACACTCTTCACCTCCTTCATTTTCGATACGCTCTGGGTACACTTTATCTCCATTTTAGACTTAATGACCTGCTCTCTGTTATCCACCTTTCCAATAATCTTTTGGTTAAGAGTTTTCCCATTCTTTTGCTACTTGCATCTTTTTGTGTTCTCTTTAAATTTTTGACTTGTACATTCTTGGTACCAGGTGACTTCCTAGTCCTGGTACTGGAGAAGCTGGCAAACTTGGCCATGGTAAGAGATAATCCACAGCAATAAAGATTGAAAGTCACAATACCGTGGCTGGAACAGTTCACCAAACTCCTTCATTTGTAAAGCCTCAACCGGGACAAGAAAAGTATGTGGTCTAAAGCTACCTTCTTCCCCCCCGTCCCCCTACCGTATTGTCTTTAGGCCTTTTCCATTTTTCTCGACTCAGTTGTGACATGACAGTGATCCAGGACAAACCAAAATGTCGTCAAAAGGTTCGTCTCCTAATTACGAGTCTTTAGTGAATCTATAATAACTGTTGTGGTCTTGAGCTGACTGGGTGTTGGCAGCAATGTTGTTATGGGTGGTCCGTCCCCACGTTGTGAAACTCATCACATTCCCAAGTTACTGCTGCACTTAGTGATGCAGCAAGCACAGCAGTCGAATACTAATCAAAAGCAGCACCAGCAGCAGTGCCTATACATAGCAACCTCACCATTTCCAAGTGCTTCCTTGGCCTATAACACCATGTCAAAGCCCAGTCCTATCTAAGGCATACCACCACATACTACCCACAACAGTCGACTAACACCCAAGTGCCTATTTACTGCTTGCTGAACAGGGGTAACATGTGTAAAAAAAACATGTCACCCAAGTGTCTTGGTGAGGCTTGTCGTATGTGTGACGTCTAAACCACTTGTTGTCGTGTGTGACGTCTAAATCACTTGTCGTGTGTGACGTGTATATAAATTGTCGTCGTGTGTGTGGCGTCTAAATCACTTGCACTGCAACATTCTTCTCCCGTGCAACAACGTCTCTTCTTCGTCTCTTCACTCCTTCAAGGGGAGTGCGCTAATGCTGAAGACAGACTCTTGATCCAAGGAGCTAGAGGTACCCTCCCCCCTCCTTCAGATCAAACCCAATTATCAAACATTTCCCAGGCGCTGAATAACCCCCGCGGATTTAGCCTTTTCCCGTGAATTTAATAAAAATAATAATAAAGAATAACCCTGTAATAATAATAATAATAATAATAATAATAATAATAATAATAATAATAATAATAATAATAATAATAATAATAATAATAATACATTTCATCTTTATTACCTCATCTTCACTGCCACCTCATTTTCTCTGGCAGGAATGTGACTGTGAGTAGAGGCACTGGAGTGGCACTACTGACACTGAGGTCAGTGGGCAGTGACAGCAGTGCTGTGTATGAGTGCCAGGCATCCAGCATCCTCGCCTCACCACAGTCTCTCACAACCAAACTTATTGTCAGGCGTGAGTACTGCTGCTGCTGGTAGTTGTGCTGACAGTTTTGGTTGTAGTTGTACAGTAGTACTAGCAGCGATAGTTCTGGCAATAGTAGTAGTGCTGATAGATCTGGTAGTGCTGATAGATCTAGTAGTGCTGATAGATCTGGTAGTCCTGATAGATCTGGTAGTGCTCATAGATCTGGTAGTCCTGACAGATCTGGTAGTGCTGATAGATCTGGTAGTGCTCATAGATCTGGTAGTCCTGATAGATTTGGTAGTGCTGATAGATCTGGTAGTCCTGATAGATCTGGTAGTCCTGATAGATCTGGTAGTGCTGATAGATCTTGTAGTCCTGATAGATCTGGTAGTGCTGATAGATCTGGTAGTCCTGATAGATCTGGTAGTCCTGATAGATCTGGTAGTGCTGATAGATCTGGTAGTGCTGATAGATCTGGTAGTGCTGATAGATCTGGTAGTTCTGATAGATCTGGTAGTGCTGATAGATCTGGTAGTCCTGAAAGATTGGTAGTGCTGATAGATCTGGTAGTGCTGATAGATCTGGTAGTGCTGATAGATCTGATAGTCCTGATAGATTTGGTAGTGCTGATAGATCTGGTAGTGCTGATAGATCTGGTAGTCCTGATAGATCTGGTAGTCCTGATAGATCTGGTAGTGCTGATAGATCTGGTAGTGCTGATAGATCTGGTAGTCCTGATAGATCTGGTAGTCCTGATAGATCTGGTAGTGCTGATAGATCTGGTAGTGCTGATAGATCTGGTAGTGCTGATAGATCTGGTAGTCCTGATAGATTTGGTAGTGCTGATAGGTCTGGTAGTGCTGATAGGTCTGGTAGTGCTGATAGATCTGGTAGTCCTGATAGATCTGGTAGTCCTGATAGATCTGGTAGTCCTGATAGATCTGGTGGTCCTGATAGATCTGGTAGTGCTGATAGATCTGGTAGTCCTGATAGATCTGGTAGTCCTGATAGATCTGGTAGTCCTGATAGATCTGGTAGTCCTGATAGATTTGGTAGTGCTGATAGATTTGGTAGTGCTGATAGATCTGGTAGTGCTGATAGATCTGGTAGTGCTGATAGATCTGGTAGTCCTGATAGATCTGGTAGTCCTGATAGATCTGGTGGTCCTGATAGATCTGGTGGTCCTGATAGAACTGGTAGTCCTGATAGATCTGGTAGTCCTGATAGATCTGGTAGTCCTGATAGATCTGGTAGTCCTGATAGATCTGGTGGTCCTGATAGATTTGGTGGTCCTGATAGATCTGGTAGTCCTGATAGATCTGGTAGTCCTGATAGATCTGGTAGTCCTGATAGATCTGGTAGTCCTGATAGATCTGGTAGTCCTGATAGATCTGGTAGTCCTGATAGATTTGGTAGTCCTGATAGATTTGGTAGTGCTGATAGAGCTAGTAGTGCTGATAGATCTGGTAGTGCTGATAGATCTGGTAGTCCTGATAGATCTGGTAGTCCTGATAGATCTGGTAGTCCTGATAGATCTGGTAGTCCTGATAGATCTGGTAGTCCTGATAGATCTGGTAGTCCTGATAGATCTGGTAGTCCTGATAGATCTGGTAGTCCTGATAGATCTGGTGGTCCTGATAGATCTGGTGGTCCTGATAGAACTGGTAGTCCTGATAGATCTGGTAGTCCTGATAGATCTGGTAGTCCTGATAGATCTGGTAGTCCTGATAGATCTGGTAGTCCTGATAGATCTGGTAGTCCTGATAGATACATATATGTATAGTTTGATTTCCAAAAAAAAAAAAGATTGCCAGTCAAAAAAATTCAACACTTGCTTTTAAACAATTTTGGCTGCAAAAAAATCATCAAAATTTTTGTCTATATGAATAAAAATTGTTTTATATGCCAAAAAAAACATATAATGTAAACAAAATTAATTCTTACCCAGTCTATAGACAGAAACATTACTGTCACGCTTGTATACGTGCAGCAGGTATACATGTATACATGCAGCATGTATACATGTATACATGCAGTATTTATGCATGTATACATGAGTTAATATTATCATCCATGTACTGTATACACGTATTGATATCCTCATGCATGTACACATGCAGTGTCATGAATTAAGAGCATCTGGCAACAGCACCAGCGGAGCATCTTAACTGAGATACTTAAAATATACAAATATGTATGGAAGGTATTGTTGATCCTCTCTGATTACAAGTGAAACTGAGCACTGAGGTAGTAATTATGAAGCGATCAACCCCTCAGCCTAAATCACCTCAAAATTACGTCTACGCTTCTATTGTCGCCAGTACTGTAATCGCTTCTATATTTGACTGATACAGTCTGCTGCGCAGGCGAAATGTTTCAACAACAAAGATGCCGAAACGTTGCACATGTGCCTCATCAACTTATCGGTACTGTATACCATTCCAAGATGATACTAACTTTAAGAGAGATTTACTCCTCTAGTCTAAAGTTATATTAAGATGCTTCCGTACAAAGTCACTCACTCCACGTTCCTGTATTGCGGGCAACATGTAGTATACAAGGTAATCGTTATGTTGCTTGGATTTTTAAGTCATTAATGTATTGTTTACCAGAGGCAGTGTCCCTGGCTGGGGGTACAGCCACGCGTGGATCATGGGTAGACCTGGGCAGGAGGGCACGTCTTGTCTGTCATGTAAGAGCTGCCCCGCCACCGACCTTCACCTGGACTAAAGATGATGAGACACGCGTCATTCAAAACAATGAAAAATACTCAATCTATAAACCAGAGGTGAGTGAACGTGACGTACCTGAGGCCAGGACTCATATATGTTCAGTGGAATTATTGTATTCGAAGTTCCTCCCAAATGTGAAATTTAAATGTGAGATTCAGAGTTTTTTTTTTTTCCAGAGAGAATATTTTGATTAGCTTCAGGCAAAACCCTTAATATGTCTTTCCTCCACCAATCCTTCCTTCCTCGTCAAATATTTCCCCAACAATAGTGTTGTCCATCCTTTCCCCCACCAAAGTAGATTCCCCTTCTCTCTCTTCCCCCCCTCTCTCCTACTTGGCACCACACACTTAATTTTGCACGTCACGTAACATGACAAAGCTCTACACGTCACGTAACATGACAAAGCTCTACACGTCACATAACATGACAAAGCTCTACACGTCACGTAACATGACAAAGCTCTACACGTCACGTAACATGACAAAGCTCTACACGTCACGTAACATGACAAAGCTCTTCGTAGAGCCTAACATGCCTTGAAAAGACGAATATATTTCTCATGAGAAAAATGTGTATAAATATGTGTATGTACGTGGCAGCTGGTGGACGGTTTGGTGCTGTGGGTGTCAGCGCTGGAGATACTGCAGGTCACTGCTGAAGATTACGGAACTTACCACTGCTGGGCCTCTAATGGTCTAGGTTCAGCCTCCATTGGGCTCACACTCAACCCGCCCACACGCCCTCACCCCCCCACCAACCTCACTGTGAGTATCTCCCTGTATCTGGTGATCGTTATGCTTGTGACTTCTATCCTCCGGGAAGGCTCCCACAGAGAGAGAGAGAGAGAGAGAGAGAGAGAGAGAGAGAGAGAGAAATAGAGAGAGAGAGGGCAAGTGTGATATGGATTTTTTCTATATTATGACTTCAAGTTGCAATATCGTGGCTGAAATTGTTCAAACTAAGCAACAAATTGAGGATAAAGCTTTAGAAGCCTTTCGATCCATTGTGCACCATCTATAAGAATTTCGTTCCATCATGGACCATTTAGATGACATATTAAGATCCGTTTTGGACCATTCAGTCCAAGACTTGAGTAATTTATTAAAAAAAATGCAAGATTTTAACCAATGAATATAATTTTTGGCTTTGGTTCTTGTAGAATACAGTTCGTTCTCTGTTAAAGTACACGTATCTCTGTATTCCTTTACCGCTCGTATATGGGTTCATATGTGTCACAGCAGATAGTGAACGTGAGTAACGTATCAGTAGTACTGGGATGGTCACCCAGCTTTGATGGTGGGAAGCCGGAGGCTTTCACTGTAAGATACAGCACTGATACTACACTCAGCTACCAGGTGAGGGCACTGTAACCACTGTATGTTTCATGGCATAAACCTGTACTTGTAACCTTTCACGCTGGTAAACATTCTTAGTAATGATAATAATAATAATAATAATAATCCTTGACTTATATCACAATTCCGCCAGCAGCAACAGTTGTATTATAGACATTATCATTTTTACTAGTATAATAGATCTCATCTCTCCTAGTACGAAGACATTGAAGGGAGTGCCACAGGTGCCACGGTGGGAGGCCTGACACCGGGTACACAATACACCTTCAGCATACAAGCCAGGAATGATCGTGGATACTCAGACTACACAACTCCACCCATCCCCGTAACCACTCTCGGTCAGTCACCTTTACTCTCAATACAAAATTGAAGACGCCTCTTACATGCTGTAATAAGGTTATACTGACGTCTAGTCATCTTCATTTTAAATTCATTACAAATATGCGCCGCTGTAATGCAATTTATTCAAATTGGTCGATCTGTTCTAAGTAAAATTCCAAGAAGGTCTATGGTTGAGAGTAATATAATTGAATCAAGCTTCATCAAAAATAGTTTTGATTTTAATATGAATATTAGTTTAGGATTATACAAATTAGATTCATTTATAATTAATAACATTTGGGAAGAATTTAAGCTATGACAAGTCCTTGATCATCCCACCCACATCATAATGGGACGGGTGTACTGTCGGCTTTATATATCCTTGTGATGTTCTATTATTGTTACAGGTCCTTGATAATGTGAGAAATCACGAAATTGCTTGCAATTTCATTATTTTTTTCACAGTGGTTGTTTTGTATATTGTGATATCACCTATTTACTGTAATCTCATATATTTTTATTATTTATTATCACACTGGCCGATTCCCACCAAGGCAGGGTGGCCCGAAAAAGAAAAACTTTCACCATCATTCACTCCATCACTGTCTTGCCAGAAGGGTGCTTTACACTACAGTTTTTAAACTGCAACATTAACACCCCTCCTTCAGAGTGCAGGCACTGTACTTCCCATCTCCAGGACTCAAGTCCGGCCTGCCGGTTTCCCTGAACCCCTTCATAAATGTTACTTTGCTCACACTCCAACAGCACGTCAAGTATTAAAAACCATTTGTCTCCATTCACTCCTATCAAACACGCTCACGCATGCCTGCTGGAAGTCCAAGTCCCTCTCACACAAAACCTCCTTTACCCCCTCCCTCCAACCTTTCCTAGGCCGACCCCTACCCCGCCTTCCTTCCACTACAGACTGATACACTCTTGAAGTCACTCTGTTTCGCTCCATTCTCTCTACATGTCCGAACCACCTCAACAACCCTTCCTCAGCCCTCTGGACAACAGTTTTGGTAACCCCGCACCTCCTCCTAACTTCCAAACCACGAATTCTCTGCATTATATTCACACCACACATTGCCCTCAGACATGACATCTCCACTACCTCCAGCCTTCTCCTCGCTGCAACATTCATCACCCATGCTTCGCACCCAAGGACAAAGTTCTTTGTCTCCACAGACTCCTAAGTGCACCACTCATCCTTTTCCCCTCATCATTTCTATGATTCACCTCATCTTTCATAGACCCATCCGCTGACACGTCCACTCCCAAATATCTGAATACATTCACCTCCTCCATACTCTCTCCCTCCAATCTGATATCCAATCTTTCATCACCTAATCTTTTTGTTATCCTCATAACCTTACTCTTTCCTGTATTCACTTTTAATTTTCTTCTTTTGCACACCCTATCAAATTCATCCACCAATCTTGTAAGACGTGTATTTCATCGGCAGGAGCTACGTCAGAGGCGGAGAACAGTGGTAATCGGAGCATAACTAGTCTCCTGCTGTTGGTTATTGTTGTGGCAGCGTTGGCACTGCTGGTGCTCAATGTGGCACTCATTGTCTGCTTCTTGCAGCTGCACAAGAGGAGGAGAAACTCTTGTAGATGTAAGAGATTCTGTATGAGCTAGCAGAGGAGAGAGAGAGAGAGAGAGAGAGAGAGAGAGAGAGAGAGAGAGAGAGAGAGAGAGAGAGAGAGAGAGAGAGAGAGAATGAATTTCATTATATTTCGTGGTGGCCTCAACGAGTTCAAGTTCTTATTAAAGTGTTGGTAAGCAGTGTGTGGACACACAAGAACCCTTGTTGGAGAACTTAACAGAGTTCTTGTAAAGTTTCAGCTGTGATTGTGCAGTAAATGACAACTTATATATATACAGCGAATTTCTTTCTTAGCGGTGACGTTTCGCCCACTCAGTGGGTTTTTATCACTGACTTGATACAACCCACTGTGTGGGCGAAACGGTTGTCATTAGTGAAGGGGTCAAGGTATCCATTGCCTCAGTCTCGACGTTTCCCTAACATCTCACCTCCTACCATGACTGTAACATATTAATTTAAATATTCCTCCAAATAATAGATGCAATGAACGCATCTGTCAACACTGAACATTAGCACCTGGTTAGATTACCAGTAGAGTGCTTACGAGATTTAGAGACCTTGTTTTCCCTGGTACAGCCTCGTCGTCCATGAAGATGACCTCGCCTGTGTCTCCAGCCAGTACCATGACCTGCAGTCCTGACCACCATCACCTCCACCATCATCACATCCATATGTCGCACATCACACATGCCCAGAAAACTGCTAGAGATTCTCAGGTAAATTAGTGCACATTTTAGTATTGCTTCGTGCCTTGTTATGAAATTTTAATTGTTCTGATTAAAACAACTGCAGTTTGAGCAAATTTTTGTTTAATTAAAACCCAGAGTCTTTAACGAAATTTAGGTAAACTGAAATATTGCAAAAGATTAAGGCAATAAGGAAGTTACTGGATAGCCACTTAGACGATTTTTTTTCTGATAGTAGTATCTATTTGTGCTATCACAGTCATTTGACATTCTTAAGTGATATACTGACGTTGATTACGAGGCTGAGATACTGCATCTGTAGCATTAACAACACTTGCACTTTTTAATTAAGGTTGAACTGGAAGAGCAATAAATTTGTCCATTTTCAAAAGCAGCCTTTCTGTCTTCTCGTAGCTTTTTTTTTCATTTTCTTCCCTTTTCTTTCATGAGCTTTGCATCGAAATGTCAGAGATAGTCTTTTTTTTAAAAAAAAAAAGCTTGTTATGAGCATAGATGAAGAGCAGGATGTGTGAGAGAGGTGATCCTTATGGTAGTACATTATCACTCCCCAGCCCAGCGTTTCCTCTCTTTCATCCATATGACATACTGGAGACGATAGGGAAGGAAAAACTCACATTGCAGAATAAGCTTCACTTGGGGAAACGTTTTACTCTGTGCAGAACTCTACACAAAGAGTGAGAATGTCTTTTCATCTTTCTCACTATGACTGCCTTTCATGTGTCAGGTGTTCCATTATCATACGTGTTGTTCGCTTGGAGATTCCTTCCCCAGTCGCTGTCGAGCGACTGAGCATAAGAACATAAGAAAGAAGGAACACTACAGCAGGCCTACTGGTCCATGCGAGGCAGGTCCAAGTCTCCTACCGGATTAAGCCAATGCCCCAACCTTGTCAGGTCAGGTCACATTCACTTAAGGAATTAGCACGGCATCTGACCTAGTAGCACAAGCTAGTCAGGTAGTTGTGTTAGCTCACTGAGGACTGTTGTCACTTTAATTGTTTATTCTAACCAACGTCCTAGTGCTCTCTCGTCCAGCTTTTAATGTGTAAATTATCTAATCCCTTAATTGACTTATCAGCCGACATATCGAATCTTTTTTTTTTTTTTTTGGCACTCCACCTCCGCTCTTCCACTATCTCGACTCCACATTCTTATCACCTTGGTCCTTCCTACATTTAATATAACTACCTTCTTACGCACATCTTTCAAACTCCTTCAACAACCCACAACATCAGTGTGTCATCTGTAAACTATGATAATGGTCCAAGGTGGGGCGAAACGTCGTCTAAATTGTCCAGGATTGGCCGAAATATCGTCTAAATGACCTAGTATGGACCCTTTAGTTACCAGATTATGAATTAGCTGTGAGTTATTTCATCAAACGTATTATAAAACTTATTCATCCAAGGAAATATTATATTGCCTCACTCAGGGTAATAAAATAAAACAGGAAAGTTCCCATCAATAAACCTGAGCACCGAAATAATAAATTCAGTCCTTAGTTTATTATGATACTCAGAGGGAAGCGCTAAACCCGTAAGTGGTCATTACACCACTTGAGGAATTGGGAGCTAATCAGGATTGGTCCAAGGAAGGGTTAAGGTGGATCCCATTCCTCGGATCAAGAACCCCTCACAATTTTTAAAGAGGTTTACCTGGAGTTTACCTGGAGAGAGTTCCGGGGTCAACGCCCCCGCGGCCCGGTCTGTGACCAGGCCTCCTGGTGACATTCTAATTGTCTCATTATTATATGGTTATGGCGATAAGAATATAATAATAATAATAATAATAATAACGAAGAGGTACGATTATTACAGGCTGATCTTCAGAACAAGGTCAGTGAGGGCATCAACTCAGCCTGCCCACCTCCACCCAGTTGTCAAACAGCATCCCAGATACCCAGTGCCACAAAGTGCACTATAAGTGGCATCAAGTGGAACAGAACACTTAAATGCAATGGCAAAATACCCCACAATGGTAAAATTTACACGAGGAAAAAATTTACACAAAATGATTCTGTCTTTTTACGTAATCAACCGCGTGGAAAGGGAAGAGAAGGGAGCAAATCAGGTAGTCCAGAGACTTGTTCGCTCATCCCAAAGCCTAAAGAAAGCTCGTACCGAGACAAGGATCAGATGTCTGAATCCTCGCATGATGGAAGTGACGCTGCTATATTTAGCGACGACAACGTCATCTCGTCTTCATTGTCAGGAAAACAGCAGAGACATTGCCTCGACCCTGATGACCACAATGTTTTGTCATATGTACACCAAATCAGAGATGAGTTGCAACATCAGCGGCATGATGAATCTCAGCAGCAGACACAGCAGGATAGGTTATCAAGGACCCTCACAGACACTGCAACTCAAATTCGGTTTACACAGTCAACACAACCCAACTCTCCTCATTATCAGCATCAATACAAAAACCATCAAGACTCTTGTAACTCAAAAGGTGAGGTGGTTTCTTGTCTACTAAATTTAAAATTATTTTCACAAATCTGAGAAAGCATTTTGTAAATTTCATCTTTATAATTAGTTTAAAGTTACATAAAACCGACAAGTTCACTAATAAGAAACATGTACAACATTTGTACTCATTGTTAATTGAATCTAACATATATTGTTGAACTAATAAACCAGTATATAAACGAAACTGTTATCTCCGTCTTCTTGCAGTACCTATTTTTACAGAATACTTAGTCTTGTTCTAACAATAATTTTTATAATTTCTTCTACAGAATCAGATCCAATCTCAAGTTCAAACAGTAAGGAACCATATGAACCAGAACATCTAGTTAATCGGCAGCAACAAGATATTCCATTACATAACAAAACATTAACCACTACCACAAATGTAAGTCTTCGGCATCAACGGGTAAACTCGCTAACCAGTGCAGAATTACAACATTTACAACCTGCAAGACCAATCAAGACTGACCCGCAAAATCTTTGTTTCCTTTCACCAACCAGGGCTCAGAAATGCAAGTCGCAATCTGTTTCACAAACAAGGGGTCAGTACCGTGTTCTGCCTGCCTTACCAACCCAAGCCCAAAAGCACCAAGCGTCACACAATATGTCAACAAGAGGACAGCGTAGAAAAGCGCCATCCTCTCCAAGAGGAGCACAGCGGTCTCAGCCATCCACCTCTTCAAGCAGAGCACAATTCCGAAAGCTTCTATTCAGTTCATCAATAAGCGAACAACGTCATAATCTGCCACCCGATTCACCCAGGAACACACAGCACTGGCAGCATAAGCCTGACGTGCCAATAACCCCTCGGGGCCACTTACCAAAGAGATTTCAGGACCACCTACCAACAAGACCTCAGGACCATATACAAACAAAATCTCAGGGCCACCTACTATCAAAACCTCAGGATCACCTACCACCTTCACCACAACGGAGCCAGAGACACACAATACCAGCACATTCACCTAGCACAACACAAACACACCCCCTGCCACCTAACTCAGCAACAAGCACGCAGCGCTTCCCTCCACCCAGTTCACCTAATCCCAGTCAATACAACTCACCAGTCGACTCACTACTGAGGATACAACATCGTCCTCCACCGGTCCCTAAAAGCCAGCATCGCTCTCCACCCACTCCACCCAGACGACATCATCGCCCTCCATTGCCTTCTCCTAAATTTAGCCAGCATCAGTCTCCATCTATTAAGTCTAAACCAGCCCTCTCATCTAACACTGGAAAACACTCTCCTGCACTCACATCACCTTCGTCTGGGTCACAGTTTCCTTCTCCTTCCCAGGAGATTCTTCAGTATAACGTATCTGAATCTAAAGACTCTGCTATCAAAGATGTCGATGGTCTGTCTGTCTTCAGCAACTTATCACACAGTGAGTCAGGCCAGAAAGATCAACGGTTCAACAGCGATAGACATGCTTGCCAACACAAACTGATGTCTCAGCACCAAATGCATGCTGATACGGACCGCCGGGACCCCATATCTAGAGGTTCACCTATAATTCATGCTGACAGGGATCACCAAGACCCAATACCGAGTTGTTCACCTATAATTCATGCTGACCGGGATCACCAAGACCCCATACCGAGTGGTTCACCTATAATTCATGCTGATAGGGACCACCAAGACCCCATACCGAGTGGTTCACCTATAATTCATGCTGATAGGGACCACCAAGACCTCATACCGAGTGGTTCACCTATAATTCATGCTGATAGGGACCACCAAGACCTCATACCGAGTGGTTCACCTATAATTCATGCTGATAGGGACCCCCAAGCCCCTGCTGCCACGAGTTCACCTATAACACATGCACGGCGATCTAAATTCCCAGATGATTTCCTGTGGCACAGATCACATGAGAAGTTGTGACTATGAGAGTATAGGTAAGCCTATTGGGCGAAGAGGAAGGCTATAAAAATATTTTCACATGCTATAGTAGATTGAGGGCATTTATCTAGTCTCGTAAGCTTGTTCATGACAAATATATAAAATATCCATCATTAAACATCTCTGATTTTTATTGCAATGTTTCGATTCTTTTTTATGTGTAGCGATTTTTTCAAAATGTTTAAACGAGTAAATCTCAACAATAATTCCATATATTTGAACTTTTCAGTTGACAAATGCGCCACCTACATAAAGAAATGCACTGGATAACTGGTTTAGCGCTTCTTTTTTATTATTATAATGATAATAATGTACTGGATAACATAATTTAGTATTAATCTAAAAGGATAACTTCATTTATTGCCATAAGGATCATTATTGTTGGGAAATATATGCGGTATAATAACTCAGCGCTTGCTGTCTTGTAGCTGCCTTTAAAAAATAGTTTAGGTCTGTATTTAAGTATAGTTTATCTTTCAGTGTTGTATGTCTCCCAGTATGTATGCGCTGAGAATTTCTTCAATCCCTCTCTTAGGAATTACTCTTGTCTGGTGAGAAAAAGTTATATACGCGATAGGCTATAAAACCCATTAACCAACGAGCAGTGTAATTTATTACAGACATAAGCCTCATCCCGCACCTTCTCCAAGGTAACTGTGACCGGCGTATTAGAGTTTAGAGACTATCAACTACACTAGGGTCATTTAAGACTGCATGTCACCTGTTCGCCACTAGTCAAGTATACTTTCATCTCTAACGTAGAAATTCAAGTCAACTCTCAAGAGTATATACACTAAGAAACATATATATACACCTCACGGTGTATATATCCTATGTATATTACAAACCATGCATATAATTAAATATAAGAATATATCAAAAAGTATTTTCCTAGTAAATTACTGTAAATATGTAAATAATAAATTGTAAAACATTAAATGTTTTCTATAGAAGTTATATTTTTTTACATACGCAGTAAAACAGGTATTGGCTGAGGAAACAGCGCGTCTGAGAAAGACACCACTCCCACGAGCCCTCCTAGGGCAAGGATGGTGCCCGAGCCAGAGCTTGCTACCACCTACAACTCACGGGTCTGCCAGTCCCACGAGCCCTCCTGGGGCGGGGCAGATGGCAAACCAAAGGCCTAACTTCTCCTTACGAGCCCCGTGAGGGTGGGGAATGGGGCTAGGCCTGGGGACAGTTGGTCCCGAAGCTAAGGAGGTACTTGTACCTCCTCCCATGGGAGACATAGGTCTTAAGACACTCCCAAGACAGGGAATCAAGGTCGGGTCACCATCTGGATAAGACCCGGGCCGGGAGAGTACCGGCGAATCAAGAACAACAACAAGGGTCTAGGAGAGAGGACAGTGTGAGGGGTGACGATTATATTGTGTGGAATACGTCCTTAAGATAAGAGAGATAAGATTTCGTTCGGATTTTTAACCCCGGAGGGTTAGCCACCCAGGATAACCCAAGAAAGTCAGTGCGTCATCGAGGACTGTCTAACTTATTTCCATTGGGGTCCTTAATCTTGTCCCCCAGGATGCGACCCACACCAGTCGACTAACACCCAGGTACCTATTTGCTGCTAGGTGAACAGGTCAACAGGTGTAAGGAAACGTGTCGGAATGTTTCCACCCGCCGGGAATCGAACCCGGGCCCTCCGTGTGTGAAGCAGGAGCTTTAGCCACCAGGCCACCGGAAAATATAATTCTTTTGATGTTGGCGAAGGGATCTTGATTCAAGGAACTGGAGCTACCCTCCTTTCCTCGGATCAAACTCGATTATCTCCAGTTCCACAGACGATGTATGGATTGAAATTTCCACTGTCGATTCTTCTTCTTAATAACGTTATTATTACATTTATGGGGAGTGCTAAACCCATAGGAGTCATACAATGCCTGGGGGAATGAGAAGTAATCAGGTTCGAGTCAGGGAGAGACAGAGAGGAACAAGAGATTCTTACCGCATCAGGGCACCCTCTCTTGAGGGGTAAACCTTTGAAATGCTGTTGTTTCTGCTTGCAAACCTACTTAGGATTCTTTTCTTCCTTTATCTTAGCCTCTAGACACCTTCCTGTTTGATCGAGTTCTTAGTGATAGCTTCCATATACATCAGTGATGAACACTCTTGTCTGCTTCCTAGGCCCTATGCCCCCTCCCACGCCATAAAGCTAACATTACCACTGAATAAGTCATCATAAGGCCAGAGGTGCCATTAAATGAGTCATCATAGGGCCAGAGGTGCCACTGCACGAGTTATCATAGGATCAGTCGTGCCAACGAAAGAATCATAGGGTCACTTTGTCGCCAGTACAACGAAGAGCTGACAGCCTTTAGAGCTGTGACTGCATTTAACCCCAGATATGGAGCTAATGTAAGAGTAGTGGGAAGGAATACACATTGTTTACATCAGATAACTAGCTAACTATGCCGGAAGGATTATGGGGTCAGATTGGACAGAATTTATGTTAAAAAGTCTGTGAGGGTGAGTTCTGTACGCACCGTGGCAGCTTTTTCAGATCATCAGGCAGTACTGAGGTAGAGTGAGATTCTTTTCTCTATTTGCTCTTATATCAGAAAGTTTGGAGGAATTGAAAAAATACAGAACAAAGAGATGAGAGTCCTAGGGCGTCCATGTGCCACTAAAATGTTAAACATGTAGAAATAACTTAATATCCCAAGCACCAGAGATCGAGTTACTAAAAATACGTGTCCTCACTGGTGTTAATATGATCAGGCAAATCTATCCAAACCGCTGCACAGAACACCTTTACAAACCTTTACTACAAGTGAGAACTCCCTCAAATGGCTCATGAATGCTGAATATGACATCAGAATGAATAAGGTATGTATCTATGTCAAGTAAAGGTGACTCATCTCCCTGTATCATGGGAAATTACCTCTTGCAAATCTCTAGCGCTCACTTTTCTTCAAAAAACTCAGCTAGATCACAATCAAGGCCTCGTTATAAAGCTAAGTATGGTGCCTTAATTTATATTGATGCTTTAATCGCACAGCATTCTCTTCCACAAATTAAATGTTAATACCTCTGTCCAGTCCACTAACGCAAATTGTAGCGTCGATGAGTAAGATACTGCTAAACCTCGTTATCTTTAATAGAGAGACGCTTTGCCCACACAGCAGGTTTTATCAGCCTAATATAGAGGCATAAGAAGGGATGCATCAACCAGAGCCATAGAAGAGGTGCATGATGCCAGCGTGTGTTGTTGTACAGAACGATGGCTGCTACATAGAAATTGGATCACGTATCAATAATTAGACTTCCAACCTTCAAAATGATCTGTTTATTATACTCCTTGCACTCAAACAATAATAATAATAATAATAATCTAATGGCTGTAATTATAACCATACCTTTTAAAGGGATGGACTGGTAAGCCAGTGGAAGGCCTCGGTCAGATGACCAAAAGCTCCAGCTGCTGGTCATCATATGACTACGACCCGCGTTAGGAAACACTTGTCCTGCTTCCTAACAAACTTTACCTAACCTTGCCCTCAAATGTGTCCATGTACCTAAAGTTGGCTACCTCAATTTTTAACGATTCAGTATCATCGATAAATCCACTTAACTCCATGAGTATCAATTATAACATGCTCGTGTCGGAACCCAGACAAGCATGAAATAATTAACGCTGAAGGATTAAGAGTACACCTTTAGTTAGTTTAGTTTAATATGTTTATTATGCACGCCATACCCATCCTGTGGGGGGTAGTCAGAAGATTACAGAGGTATGTAATGGCTCCAGGGACTGGGACCCCAAAGTTAGATCTGGTCACAATCATGGCAAGTTACAAAGGCAATAAATCATCTACACGTCTATACATGGTTACAAACATGAACAAATTACAAAGTAATGAGTCATTCACACGTCCACACCTGGTCACAACTGTAACGAGTTATAAGGACAAATATTAAGTGGGTCACACACTCACACGAGCGAGCGCACATACACACACACACACACACACACACACACACACACACACACACACACACACACGCACGCACGCACACACACACGTGGTAATGCTTTATTTACAGTGAGCAAAGTCAGGGTATTTTTCCAGAATGGTTTGTAATTTACCACTGTGGATAAAATACTTTGCCATTTCTTGAACATTTCTGAGTGAATTGTCTCTGAATTCATTAATTTTATCGCACTCCAGTACATAATGACGCAGGGTGTGAGGCACTCCAGTACATACTGAAGCAGGGTGTAACGCACTCCAGTACATAATGACACAGGGTGTGACGCACTCCAGTACATAATGACGCAGGATGTGACGCACTCCAGCACATAATGACACAGGATGTGACGCACTCCAGTACATAATGACGCAGGGTGTGACAATAGTCCATCTGGCAAAGTTTACATGTCGTTTGGTCTACATCTGGTGGTGGTGATTTAACCTGCCAAAGATACTTGTAACCCAGCCGGAGCCGGGCGGTAGTGACATCCAAGAGTCTGCTTATTTTGTTGGATGTACCATAGACATGTGGCTCCTCCTGCATGATAGAATGATGATAGATGGACTGACTGGTGTCTTAAGTCAGTAAAGTTGAGTAAAGTTCTTTTCGTATTATTGTTCTCAAACTGATAACCGACAACCCAAGACTGTACTCTACTCCCTCTTTGAAAGAGTATAACACAGGCAATTCATCAGTTCTATCATGCATCTGAAGATCAATGTGAGATAGAATGCACAGTATGTGCACTCTGATTCCACTGTCCACAATCTTACCATACCTGTGTCTGGCTTCTGATACAAGCGTGCCACAATTTATACTTAATGTTTGCAATCGTGTCATTACGATTTTGTGAGTCAAGCTTAGATACATGGACGCATTTGAGTGCTAGGAGTATGGTAAACAGTTCTGTTTGAAGGGTAGAGGCCCAGTTATTGATGCGTGCTCCAATTTCTTTATGAGAGCCATCACTCTGTATGACAACAACAGCACTACCAGCTGCACCAGTGGATTGGTGAACATCACCATCAACGTAAATAATTTGTGAAAGCGTGTACTGTGTGACTAAGTTATCAATACAGCTTAAGGCATCCTGTTTGACTCCAAGGCGAAGCTTTGGTTGTGATTTAAGAAGAATTTTGGAGGGAAATGGAGGAATGGTAGTTTGGAATGGGGTAATATCCCATGCACCTTTTTGTCGATTCTCACACTGGCCATCAAATGCATAATAGAACTGATGGACTGGCACATGCACATGACTTCAAGGAAGAAACGGATAACAGCTTTGGGCTGTCAACTAGTAGTCTGAGGAAAATAATAG